TAAAACTTTTTAATTTCTATTTTTTTTTTTAATATCTTATGCATAAAACAAGTAAGAAAGTAAGAAAAAAAAGTAACAAAATCAGATTCATTTTTCACTTATTTGTAGAAAATATGAAAAGGTTAAAGTCATAAACTTCTTTAGTTTATATAATTTCATTACTATAATCTAGCATAACATAAAGCGTTTTAATTTTTTTCAGAAAAATATTGATTTTCAAAAAAATGTTTGTTACTACATGAAGATAAAGAAAGCTAACAGTTATTCCTATAAAATTTTCGTCACATTTTGATTTACATACTTTAGGAATTATGGACTGTCGTATATTTTGAAAATTGCTGCCTTTTTTAAAGTCCCAGACCAGAAAATAAGCCAACAATAGAATGAATAGTATAATTGCTGTAGCCAGTAAAGAGCCCAATGACATCAACTTTGAATTACAACCATTTCTCTAAAAGTCTTAAATTAATCACTTCATCATTCCACTGCACTCTTCAAATCGTGTGATTTCAAATTCTGACATAGGTGCACATCTCAATGTATCTCAACAGCTTGTAATTCACTGAGTTTTCTAGCTATCAGTGATATGGCCAATTTGTGTGATTGTCCTAAGCCTTCAACCAAGTCTAAGTTTTAAAAGTTCAAGGATGTATGAGTCATTGTCATACAATTCCAATTATTTCGATACAACAATGTATTTAAAATTAATTTAACAACTTTTTTTCAAATGCGAAGAGAAATTTTGACAGTGGCAAAACAACAGATGAAATTTATACAATTTAAACAAAATGGAACCTGTTTATGCTCTATGACAAGATGCGTTGGAATAATTTTTTGCAGCGAATTTATCGGCGGTAGTGGTGGTGGCATTTGTTTCTTAAATTTCAGTCAAGGTAAACTGAATGAAGTCTTCAAAAGAATGAACATCGCATTTACTGTTCAAACCAAGAGTTAGGGAAATATTCGAACAAAGGAGAATCAAAAAAACTTAGAAATAAAAATCCATCCTTTTGTATTCTTTTTGTAGCAATATCGTAATTTCAAAATTATATTAAATTTAATTAAGCCTGAGAGAAATTCGATTTCAAAAATTTCTTTAATTAAGTCTGAGAAATTCGACATCAAAAAAAAAAAATAACCTGAAAAAGATCAGGTGGCCTCGAATAATAATATTCAGGATCCTCATAATCCTTTTGTGATCGCAAAGTATTATTGTTGCAGTTACTTTGACTGGATAATCCATTTAGATCACTATGGAATGTTCGAGGTTTAACAAACTGTGGATCACTCAGCGGCATTTTCGTTTACATGCGTTTAGTGTCTTTATGCCCGATACTCCTCTTATGACTTTTATAAAAAATCATGAGACAATTCGATTAAAGAGTAAAACCAAATGAAATTAATCATCTGATTCTGAAAAATATAAAGAACCGTAAATTTCCATCGCTTACATGAGCGCTTCTTTAAAAAAAAAAGGAGCGAAATTAAAGTTATTGAGTGCTTTTCGATTGGTTATTATTAATGTCATTTGTGAAATGCAACATGCATACAAGAAGATGAAGTATTAATAAGAAAAGAGAGTAAACAACTATTAGGCAATATTAATAGATTCACCACGATAATCAGTGTGGTGACAAATAATAAGAAAATATGGTGACAAGAATTTGGTTAACATTGTTTTAACAGTATGAAGTACATATAACGTAAAAAATCGAAACCTTTTAATTGGCGTTTGGGTTGATTAAGAAATAAGTTATATTAAATGTATCAAAAGAACATTATAGATTTGAAAGCACTCCTTTCCATTACACCTTATGGATTCAAAATAGAAATTTTGTTTTACTGAAAATTACCTTGCATTTTCAGTAAATATTTTGATTTTTATATTTACGTAAAAAGGATTTTGCTTGATGTGTTATTGAAATGGTGAGATGAAGTGTTAAAGATAGGGATTTCATTGTAAATATTAATGAGGAATTCTTCAGGAAAATGCTCTGTTGTTAATTAATGACAATAAGGACTTTATACTTTGAAATTTTTTGAATTCACTTTGCTTCCAATCTGGAATTTCTCATATGTATTATTTTTCCCTTAGATGAGCACAAGTACAATTAAAATTGGAAAAGGCAACTATTGCGGAATGGCCTAAATATTTAATTTTGACATCTCGACCTTCTAGAAAGAGTGCAATATTTCGGGCATGATATTCTACGACGGATATATGAAAGCATGCTGCCTAGATAATTTTATTTTCTTCTATTTTTAGAATGTTGGAATATGTTCAGAAGGATTATTACAACCAGAACATTTAAGATACTGAAAGGTTTTGGTCTCTGATTTGTGCATTATTTCATGTTTAAATTCTAGACAATATATTCCTGTAAAAAGAATAAAATTTAAATTTCAAATTGAAAACTAATAGAAAAGTTGTGCGCATTCACTATCTACCGAGAATAATTTAGCTTATATAATTAATAAAGTGTGTAAATAAAAAAGAGAAAAGCATAATAATAATGCTAAGAAAGAAGGAAATATCCACCATGGTTTACATAACACTCTCTGCTTCCTGTGAAAGATTAAGCTGAGGCATTTTAAAGTGTGTTATACATCTGGAACAAATGTTGACATAGTGGAAATTAGGCTAAAGCATTTCGAAGATTTCTTCTAGAAGATCTCATTTACTGACAATAAATAAGGAAAAGAAAAAACGGAAATAGAGGAATTAATTAAAATAAACTCGGCAAGAAAAAAGGCGCCGTCAACTGATAGAATATAATCGCTTAATATAATGAATCGCTTCGAGCCGTCAATTAATGAAGAAAATTAAATTTATTTTAGTTTTATAAAAAAATACTCTTACAAAAAGTTTGGTATAAAAAAACTGGTCGTAATTGTAGATAGTAAAAGAATCTAGCAAATATGATAAACATATCTTCCAAGAAATTCGTGATCAGTCTAATTGAAGTATCACCGCGAAATCATACTGCGACGAAGAACGCACGACAGTAAACATACATCAGTTAGGTTTCATTGTTCATTAGAATTTCTAATGATGGTCAATAGCGCCACACTTCATTAATTTGATAATACATTATTTTACGACGATCATGACGAATTGGATGCAGAACATATAGGCTGTAATTTAATTAAAGTAAATTTTCTCATCTTCGAAAAAAAATGCGAATGCATTATATGAATAAATTTTAAATCATTAATGAGCGAAAAACCATTAAAATTAGAATTACTCCTTTATAGTTATGGAAAAAGGAAGATTTCAACTTTTTTAAATAACAAAAAGACAACAGTGACTCTTTCATTTGGTTATTTCAGAGTGAAGAGAATAAAGACGAAGAGAATAGCGAAACATACCAAAATGCTTTTGAAGGTCGCAGCTATCAGTCTACAGCGGGTTTTCAAATTTTTTGAAATATTTTATGTCATTGAAAAAAAAACCTATAATAATGACTTATTGTGTTTTTTTTTCCGGTTTGGTTAAATTACCGCACTTGCAAAAAATGCATAATGACTGGACAATTATCATATTATTTTGCATATTTTGCAATCGACGTGCTCAATTGTACACATATACACTATGCATTTTATGCTCTTATGTATTTCAATGTATTTATTTGCTGTAAAAACGGAAAAACTAAAATGTGAAGTTAGAAAAAGAAGTGATTAGAACAATAAAATGGTAATAAATGAATAGGTGAAGAAAATATTTGATCACTGATCATTGAGAAGTTCAAAATATAGTAGATAAATATGAATTTATGAATCCTACTTATAGAAAAGTATGACATTTCACTGAAATTAAAGCATTAATGTATTTAAGACTTTCGAAAGTGTTCTTAACATATCGCTAATTTCCTAATCCTTACATTCTGGTTATTCAATTATCTTCTAATAAATAAATTGAAAACAGTAAATAGTTTTTCAATTTCAAATGTTTCAATGGTGAACAAGAAAAACGAGGGAAATACGCTATACAAATTTACTTTTTAATCTTTTTATTGTCTTTCTAACATTTTTTTTTTTATTTCCACTTTTGTAGCAAATGATATATGGTGTTTTGATCTGAAAACAGAGCTGTTAAATGAAATTTTGCTCACTAGATCAAGTTATCTATCACATCGAACCAAATTTGTACTTTCTGTAAAAGTTTTGAAAATCCAAAATATCGAGACTTCTAAATCTGCTCCAGTTAACTAGATAATTTACTAACCAAATTTATTATATTTGGATCAGTTTTAATATAAGTTGACATATGAATTTGACAGCCTTCGATTTCTGAAATTACCACCCTCAATTATCAAGCGATATATTCCATGTATAATTTAGCTCGCATGCTATTGTTCTAATAATAATAATATAAAGATAAACTCTCGAACTCCATATCAACTTTTATTTCTTGAGATATTTAATAACATCTCAGTTAACAGCGCTTTAATTTTCGCAAAAAAATTTAAAAAAAAATAGTTATAAAATGGGAATGATTATTCTGCACTCGACAATAATGATTGAGATAATAATCAAATAATATACAAAATAAAATTAGTAATATACAAAATAAAATTTATTAATAACAGCAATTTTGAGAAAGCTGTAATATTTTGTGAATTGTAAAATAAAATAAATTATTGCTTGAATGATAATATTGCAGAGGCGATTTTGACAATTCAAACAATAAATTTAATTTTATTCTAAGTGCAAGTCTTCACTATAGCAAAATAAATTGAAAAAAAAAAATTAGCTGTGAAATTAGCCGTTAATTTTATTAGTGGATGAGTAAGTTATAGAAGCTTTAAAAGAATTAGTAAATGCAGTATCATTTTCTGTAGCTTAACTTCTTGAATTTAATAACATTTCAGATATATTTCTTTTTTGATATACAAAATAATAAACAACAAATTGCTCATTAAAATAAATGGAGATAAAATGATATTCGATGAAGAAATAATCCATTTTCCTGAAGAAATTCAAGTATGCCTAACAATAATTCAAAACATGCCGACTTTCTTTAAATTTTTTTCAATAACCATAACGATGACATTATCCAGAATTATTTGAACCTGACTGGTATCGGTAGCATAGGTTTGATGCACATAAATTGTCTTTTCTGGATTGGTATTTAAGGCTTCAAAGCTTTTCGTTATGAAAGCTATCGAATCTTCGTATGTTTGAGGTCCTGGAAAATATGTTAAGTCTGGATTGTCTGGATTTCTTTTTTTTAAATATCAAGTTAAAATTTTAAAAAAAGACAATAAAAGATCTTTTTATATAATTCTGTATTTCTGCAACTTTACAATTGTTGCAACAATATTTCAATTCTGAAAACATTTTTCAAGCTTACAAGAATGAGGAAAAATGTTTGTTAATTTAAACAGGAATAATATTATGTAATTAAACGATTAGTGATTAGTGAAAACGAGCACTTTAAGATTTTGCAAATAGACAAAAGAGATAACTTGTTCAACTGACCGTTGTAGTGAGGAAAAGCGATCCTGATTGATTTCGATTTTAGTTTCTCAATAAACAAATCTTTTTTGTTTAAAAATAAAATAATGGAAGCATTAAAAAAACCATCGACTATTGCATATTGTTTCAAATAAACACATACTTTCCACCATACGATTCTGAAGTGAAATGGGATATCACAGTTAGATAAGGCAATTAACCTCTAATTTTAATTAGTTCGGTAAAAACTAACAGTAGTATTATCTTCGAATAAAACTTCGGCATATTCACTAATAGCCGCAACGTATATAACAGCGCTGACGTCTTCAAAATAATGAATGCATTTTTTCCTTTCCGATCGTTGTCCACCCACATCAAATACTCTAAACTGATTCCAACAAAGTACATTTTGAAGAAGTATGCATCGATTTGCTTCCTTGATGAATCATTCGTTGATATCCAATTTAAATTTATGATCATGAGGGTGAAGACTTATATTATGATGCTAAAATCTGCACAGCGAAAGTACATTTTACTCGCCGATACAAACCTGAATGGAATATTTTTAATAGTAAAATGAACTTCCACAATTCCAGTCGTTTTTATTCTTGTTAACAATATATCTTGCTCACTCGGTTTGTAATCCAAAGCTGTTATCCGATCGATACTATCGAAAAAACTGCAAAAACGGTCTTACTTTTCCTCTATTCGTCATCTATATATTTACCAAGTTTTCATTATATTGCTGGACTGCTGGACAAAAAAAAGAATAACTAATGACAGTTCAAAACTGAATGTCATATTAAACAACTCATTTGTTCGATAATCCTTCAGTACTTCTTTCGTTTATTAAAGTATAAAGGTCATATTTAGAAAAAAATGAACAAATTGCTCAGTCTTCCTTATTTTACTTTACTTCGTCATAAATTAATGACATTCGGAGTAACGCATATAGTATCACTTAATGACTCTAATATTCATTTTATCAACACAATCCAATAGAGAGGCTTATTAAATTTTTAATAATTAGTCAAATGGTCCATAAAATTCCATTGAACATGCTACCAATGCTATGAAGCTTTCATTAAAAAAAATGCTTTGATAACCAACTGGGACACTAAATTCGACGAATTCAAATAGTTGCTTGTTTCTTACTTCTTTAGCGTATCATTCATTTCATTAATTTTTCCATTATTTGGATTAATTTGTTAAGAGAGCAATTATTTAAATTACCTAGTCATAATTTAGGATACACATATAATTATTATCTATATACATAATTTATATATATATATATATAATTAATTTAAGATTATATATATGATTAATATATTAACGTTAATTTATATGCGTTAGTTTACTATCCTATTTATAATCTTTTTTTTTGTCCAAATAATCAGTGAAATTAAGTTAGTTTATAAATTGTTGCAGAATTAGCGATGCATGCTTCTTCAGCATGTTAATATTTCTATGTTAGAAGAGGAATATGAAATCTTGTGAATGATTGCAATAGTTAAAAAAACGTTTTACGAATCGAAGATTGAGGAAATCACGATAATTGTGTTTGGTGTTGATAAATCTTCTATTATAGTTTTTGTACTCATAATTTGCAAACTCAAATTGTCTGATTACAAAACTGCATTAAATTAAGCCGAACTGTTTGGCAGACTCATGTAGATTATGGTCATGTCTCCTTTCGTAAATATTTTGAATTGCAGGATCTTGCCACAGATTCTTGATTGCTGTTGCAATCTCATAAGTTATTGACTTCGATTCTGTGCTAATCGCTTGAGCAATGACAACTGAATCATCCTTCAAGAAATTACTAATTATTTTTAAATAAACTATTTAATTATTCAAGTGACCACTAGTCAGGACTTGCTTTTTTCTAGTCAGAGCTTTTTTTAAATAACCACTAGGTGGTGTCGATAATTCGTTAAAAAAATTAAATCAAAATGTAAAATAGACCATTTCATGAGTTGCTGAAACATTCTGGTGATTTAGTAGAGAGAAAGAGCGAGAGGGTAAAAGAAAGGAAAGGAAGAACTACGGAAATGAAAAAGTTTGGTGATAAATTTATTAAAATGAAATAAAATATGTCATTTAATATTAGGAAATGAATAATAAATGCACTGTATTCAACAGCTCCTAAAAATGACCTTTCTAGCTGGTTCACTGAATTTAATACTACACCGTTCCATAACTTTTAAGATATCATCCATTGCATGAATTGTATTCTCGAATACAACCAAACGTTGCTTTATTATTTCATCCTGCGTAAAAACACTACTGTGTAAAATTCTGCAAAAGTATTGAACGTTAAACAGATTACACTTTTGTTTATGAAATATTACATTCGTCTAACTGATCAGCGCAGTGAAATTATGCATTCATGCAATGAGCATTATTGATCAGACAATCGTGATAGATCATAATTTGATTGATCAAATGTTCATTAATAAGAGCGTATCTGAAGAACAGTCTAATTAAGAGAAATTAAAAAATATATTAAGTCTTATCATGAACCTCATCTGCATTAGCAATGTGCTCTTACCCGAATCACCAGTACCTGAAAATTCTTTTTTTTTTTATTTCATTATCGATGGCATTACTATTTAATATAATAAACCTTCTGTCTCTTGTTATACTGTTGTATGAAATGAATAATCTTTATCTATTTCAGTAGAGTAGCATCGACAATAGAATAATAAGTTTCACTGAAAATAGTTGAAAGAATGGAGAACTATTTTGTTAGAGAATATCATTCATTCATATTTATAGCAAATATAGACGAACTGAGTAATAGCAGTTTGATAGCTTTGGCACTTTCGATCGCACTTTCATTGATTTCACGACCAATCCCTTTACTTCTTTCGTGTAGTTTTTTTTCCTCTTCACTTTGACAAAGACCCATAACATTAGTATTTCTTTTTCTCTATGAAATTTAGAAAACTTAGGAATGTTGGGAAAATATACCGATAGTTTAATCAAAAGGTGATTATAAGGCTACAAGATGACCAAATATTCCTGTCCGCATCGCAGGGCTCTGGAATTGTTAAGTATTATTACTGATAGAAACAAATTCACAAAAAAGCATGCTGGATATATGGAAAACAAAAGGCATCGAATCCTAGTTTCTGAAAAAAAAAATAGTTTGTGCATTCTTTCCAATTTATTTTCTAAATCCTTTAACATTCAGTTTATTTGATAACTACCAAGTTAAATATCAATAAATTCGAAAAAAATAAAAAAGACAATGTTGACCATATACTTGAATGGCCAGAAAAATGATGCATTTCATTTCCTAATTTTTTGAGAAATTTACTTATACTTTTTCTAGAATCTTTTTTTCTTCCATACTAACAGTATGATCAGTTACTTTTAACAACTACAACATAATTCAAAAAAGGTTGATATTTCTGACTGGGCAACTTGGAAATTGCAAGATGACATCTAGTCAAGAGCTTTATTTAGAATTTTCAACAGTGACTGTACATCCAACTTTCCATCAGCTAATCGTTATTATTAGTATATTCCTTACTCAAAAACTTTTTTAGCTTTTAGCAAAAGATTGTACCTTTATGCCTGGTACAGTGCAATTAGAACTCCTTTCCATAAACTTTTGCTTTTCAGGAGTAAACTTAGCACATTTCTTCGTTTGATATCACAAAATTCTGCATCTGACCAAATTAATAACTTTTGTTACCTTTGTTTATGTATATGCATGTATGGTTTAATCCATCGTTTTGAAAATAAATATTTAGCCAAACTTAGCCAACAATCTAAAATTTGAAGAATTCAATAACATTTCATGTGAAAGCAATAAAATTTGATGAATGGCATGATTTAGAGCGTATTATGAATTTTTGTCTGAAGCAACAGGATCAAGTAATCTGGTGAAGTGAAAATATTCTCATAAAAAAAGGATTCCTCTGGCAGAACATGTGGCAATGACTTCACAAAAAAATTTGGCTTCTAGTAAAGTTTTGGAATGTGCAAGAAATCTTACCAAATAGTATGTATATTTTATGATAACGGAATTTTTTAGAAAAAAGATTTCATGAGTGAAAATTTACAGGTAATGAATTTTAAAATAAATGAACTAATCTTCATAAATGCTATGTATAATGAAAGCTTTATTTTCAACCGGACCGATAGTAAAACTTGAGACAAAAACGAATGCATAAATCAAAACTTCGAAAAAGAATAATGTGGTTTGTGAATTTTTGTGATCACAAAAAGAATATAGCACCATTATTGATAATATAATTATGATGCCATTAAGAAATATAAGATTAATTTTGTATTTCTTGACACAAATTCGAATCGTCAAGTATTTTGGGATACGGTGCTACCTCCATACAAAATGATTATATTTATTGAGATCGGCGCTGTTGTCATTTAGAATAATTTTTATTCAGTAACTAGGATAAAGAATATTATATGAAATGATAAGCAATATTTCGGAAGAAAACATTCCAAGGATAATTTGCAAGAGAAATTAGTTCAAAAGTGTGGAATTAATTACTAGCTGAACAAGCGGAATTAGTTGCCAATAACTGGTTGTTGAAGGCTTAGGTGTGCATCTAAGTGTATGATTATATGACTTAATAAGCAACTTTACTTATTAATTTATACAGGTATCTCCTCTCTATCACTGCTGTTTATGTACAAACAACAAATATAAGTAAATAATACTACTCATTGTGTTATGAATATTACTGGACGGATGGATATCTTTACTGAAATTGGATTCATTCCTTATTGGTATTAAAGTAGAACAGGAAATTTTCATTTCACATTTTGATACTGCGCTGAAGTTGTTTGAATCGGATAGAAAAATGATTCAGTGGGGGAAATTGCTACTATCTTTAACTTAACTGCTAGATAGTAATAAAGAAACTTTTAAAAAGTGGCAAATAGAGACATTCAATTTCATTCTCAGGTAAAATTGGAGATTCATGCAATATTCAAAAATTAAGAAACATGTAACAGACTATATTCTGCTTGAAGAAAGACATCAAATAATTATGTCTGCTCTTCCGAAGAATGGCCATTGTTAAGCAACAAAAACAAATTCACTCTTACAAAAAATTCATTCTTACATTAGATTAGGCCCAGAGTGACAAACTGTAATGATAATACAAAAATCTATTGCTCCATCTAGATGAATGACCATCTAAATGTAATTATTAGAGAAGAACACTTCGCTCCTTGCTGCTTTTCTAATATCTGCATCAGTGCTCATTATACCTAACGAGATGTTACATTTTCATATTTGGTACAACCATACTTCGCGTTGTTCGGTGGTTTTTTGATGGATGGTGGGTGTATGTCAAAGTGTGGCGCTGTTGTTTGCATGTGGATTTGTTGTTATATATCGTTAACTGAGGAGCGAATTGTCTCCGAGACAATAAAAGATAATTCTTCAGGATTGCTGTAAAGGAGAGAGATCAATGTTTGCCTTGCAGTGAGTTAAGTGCGAATGACAAAAATACTCCCTGTATTGCAAGCACTATGCAGATTTAACGCTGGACAACGAACCGCATTGGGACTAGCGAAAGGTGTTGATGATGGAAGAACTAATGTCATTTCGGTAAATGTTGAAACGGGCTCGAAAAGTATTATGCAGCTAAAGGATACCGGTGGTAAAGGGATAATTTGTTTGACAAATCCCGAATGTTATAGATAAATAACTTTTTTTTTTGTAATTTGTGCACAATTTTTAATTATTTCGTCAACTATCTTTAATGACTGCAGAATTGACAAGTAGTGCAAGTTTCATGAGGATTTTGTAAGGTTTAATTTTTTTTCTTTTTGGAAAAGTGTAAGATTTTTGAAGTAGTGCAAATCTCATAAATTTGTTTTATCATACATTTTGCTGAGGCATAAGAAAATACAGACTTTAACAATGAATGCCTGTTCTATTATTGTAACGTTTACCAACTAGTTAATTTCAGTTTTCACCATATCGTTGAGACAATATAAGAACATTATTAAGAGTATAGAGGGAATAAGGAGTATCAATAAGTTATCGATATTTTATGACTTTCAGCAGGATAGTAACGAATTATCTTCTGTTTATCAAATATTTTCTATAAAATTATTTTTGCTGATTTTAAGCTTCTTTCAGCGAAGAAAGTGCGATTGAAATACAGCGGACTTTTGCCACAAAAAGCAATTGTTGGCCTGTGGAATGCACTCACAAAGTGTTCTAGAAACCCAAAAATTCTACAGTCTCAAGCTGATCAGGTCTTAATCATTTTTCTTTTATTTATTTGAATGCTGAAACTCATTTTTGTCAATTATATTTAGATCTCCGTCAATTTGTGTAAATCTTTATGGTAAAACTTCATGTTTTTTTTCGATTTGGGCTTCAATTAATTTACTTATTGGTTATTAGATGAAATATTCTGTACAAAGGGAATATCCGAAAAATACTAATCAGTCGACAGTGCGGTTTGTGGTAAATAACGAAATTCGTATACGGTGAAATTGTTTAATTAGAGCCGTTAAAATTACAAGTTTCGTTTTCTTCAGCTGGCACTGATGTTGTGTATAAGTCAGCAGTTCTTATGGATTCTTTATGCCTTTTCTAATCATTAGTTGTCTTGTCTTTATTTTTACATTTCGAGCAAATACACATTTATTTTACTGAGTGGTGCATAAAATAATGAATAGTTTTGTTATTGGTTCTAGTAAAGTGCAAAAATCCTGTAAACTTTGTGTTATTTTTGCAAATTTCAAATCTTGAGCATTTTCAGTTAAAAGAAAGGCTGAGTCAGCGTCAATTTCCGGCGTCACCAAAGGAGGTGCAAGAAGCACGTCATGAAATTAAGAAAATGTTGGAAGCCGAAGGTGGATTACCGGATCGCAGTTCTGTCAGTCAGAAAGTTGTTAGTTTCGACTCTCTTTTTTTGACGAATTTACTTTGAACGCACTTAACTTTTAAGTGTATTGAAACCAAATTGAGTTCATGAGAAGTCGTAATCTTCTCTGATATTTCTTTTTGTAGTGCATTATTTCAGCAGCAGGTATTTGAAATTTAAAATTTAAACAAGATGGGTTAGTTCATGGAATTTAATTTAGCTGGAAGCATTGGATTTGGAACTGAAAAAGAAAGTAGGTAAATTGCTACGCAACGCGAGATATAACTGGAAACCACTGGACTTTAAAACACGTGAGCATGCTGCAGCTTATACCTTAGCCAGGTACATTCTTGATTTTTTATGGGTTTTGGCAGAGAACATTTCAGCCAAACAACTGTTTAATTTTGCTCGTGGGTGCTATTTATTTAATCCATTCTCATCTAACGTTTTATTTCTCTTATCGTGAATATTGAAATTCGTTTTTTGCTGTTGAATACACTGTGTAATTTCGCCAATGCACAGTTAATCATGAATATTTTTTCAATTCCCTTTGCAGTGCTTGCTTTATTCCACCATTTGATACTGTCGATTTTTTAATAATATGAATAACATGATCTCTGGTATTTGAATTATCAGAATTTGTTTCATTACTCTGATTTATATAATTTTCCATTTTAATGTAGTTTCTCTTTGAGTAAGTTTTTCCTAGTACTCAGCACAGTAAAACAAAAGTGAAAATAGTCAATATGTATTAAATATTTCACAGTTTATAATTTTTAGGCTTGCACCTAACTATGCAGAAGTTCGTTTTGTCTTACAAGAATTTGTAAATAATGAATACATCCCAAAAACAGTTTTGGACTACGGAAGTGGTTCTGGCGCTGCATTTTGGGCAGCGTTCGAACAGTGGGGAGAACAAGTCAAAAGTTATCAGCTGATCGATCCAAATGAAGAAATAAGTCAGTTTTGCATGGACGTTTTAAGGGTATGCTTATCATTTATTGTTGATTCATTATGCAATAATTATAGCTTATAATTCATTACGTTTTGTACAGAGTTTTCTATGACTGAATTCAAAAAGTATATATATATATATATATGAGAAGTTCTTCATATTTAGGGCAATGGTGAAAACAGTGGGCATCCATTTGTGCATCCAAATATTAGCTTCCGAAAATTTGTAGCTCCATCGTTAAATAACACTTTTGATGTTATAATTGTGCATCGTCTTCTTGCTGAATTGGCTTCTGAGGAATCACGTACTGAGTTACTAATAGATTTATGGAAGCGAACAAACAAGTGGGCCTGTTTAATCTTTAAACTGTTTGTCTCTTTGAACAAAGAATTTTATTATTGAAAATAAAATTAAATATTGTTAAAGAGTTTATGAAAGTTAGTGAAAGTTCAAGATCCTTTTAAAAGCTTGTTGAGCAGTTCTTTCAAGATATTTGGTAATGATTGACGGAAGCTGTAAAGGTGGCTATAACGCTTTAATGGAAGCCAGAGATTATATCCTTATGGGTGGCTGTGAATTGCATCGAGAACAAACTCGACAAGTCCTGATGGAAGCAGGAGTATTGAATGAAGAAGCAGACAGTATCTTGACTGATCAACAGTTATCCAACTATATGCGTTACAATCTTATTAGAAATATGGTACACTTGATTTAGGAAATGAGTAATAATATAGTACTTCAATGCTGCATGATTATCATTTGAATTGTATTGATTTAGGCAACCATTCGAGTCTAATACGCTCTCTTGTTTGTTTAATTTCTTTCAAATCATCTTGATTTCAGCTTCCACCAAACACAATTTTACCAACCAGATTGGAACCTGGATATGTATTTGCTCCATGTCCACATGACCAGGGATGTCCGAAAAATGTGGAAAAAGAAAAGTTAGTTTTACCTTCAATGTGTTAAAAACTTGACTCCTTTTTTCACATCAGTTCAGTTGAGAACTTTCTATTTATTTTCTGTTTTTACTTCACTTCTTAAGTTTGGAATTATTTCAATAAATGAAATATTCCATATCCATATTTCAGAGATGTATGCAGTTTCTCAACTCAGTGGAATGTATTGCGGGCTGATGGGCGGAAGCAGATTTCTAGTACCGAGACGGGATCATTCACATATATTATTATGGCCAAAGGAGCAAGATCTCATCACATACCTCAAAACAGACTTCTGACGGTTTATTTATTCCAAATTAAAAACAATCTATTCTGCTTTGGAAACTGATTGAAATAAATAAGTTTTAGATGCAGTTTTTTAAAACATACATACTGATGAATACTTTCTCCTTAACCTTGTTTTGGAATTTATCCTTACTCCTATCAAACTTCAGTTAAAGCGTGGCGGGGGACATGTGTGCTGTACGGTTTGTACACCATTTTGCGGAATACAGCGGTTTACAGTATCGAGAAGTATGGGCAAACTTTATAAAATAGTCAGAAATGTTAAGATGGGTAGAGTGCTTCCAGTTGAGGTTACTTTTTCTGCAGTTTTTTTCTCGATTCTGTTTAACGAGGATATATCTTCTGGTTAACAAACATAAATGTAAAGATAAAGTATATTTTTCGTGTTCTTTCAGAATGACGTTTCATGAGTTAATTTGCAAATTTGTTAGATGTAAGTGAAAATCAGCACAATTCATGCGTTTAATATTCTTATCAATGTCTTGTTCAGATGAGAAGTGTAGGTTCTGATTCGGAGTTCGATGTGTATGAAGAAGCGGTGCAAAAATTTACAGAGGAAAAGTGCGCCTCTGAGATATAAGTGGAAATCTGCATAATTCCTGCGTTTAATTTTCACAAAAACTCTCCTATAGCTAATTCTGAGTTGTTTTATTTCTGTTGTTTTTTATTAATACCTGCTACAATTTTTTTTTTTTTGAATACTTTTGTTGCAAAACAGTTGTACAGTACGCTGACTTTATTAATAAATAATAAAGATAAGCGAAATAGTGACCTATTTCCCAATGTTTATTGTACATCTAAATTAAGCCTTTTTGGTTCATCTTTTGTTCCCTGTTCTGTTGTTTTTATTACTACCTACTGCAGCTATTTTAAAAGTGAGTATCGTTAAATATGTTAAATGTGAAGCTGTAGAGTCTTTTTTTTTTTTAATTGTTACTAGTTACAGTTGTTTAATGGTTTTCGGGATAATTTCTTGAAAGATGAGAGCAGCTAGTAAATTGAGTGGAGTATGAAAGATCATCTGAAAAAGCATAACAGCAAATTGTGGGGTAAATACATGTTGTTATAGCATGATTCAAAAATGTAATTAAAAGGGATGGACGTATGCGCTATTAATGGAAGTAGAACTAAATAATGGATGAGAGGGCCAGTGTTGTCTTCATGCCCATATCTGAAAAGCGTGGTTTTAAATATATAATGAGTCTGAAAGTTGCGGACTATTTGATATTGCAAGCATTCTCAGTAAGGTCAACCGATGACTTCGTGTGCCAACCAATGAAATCTAAGTCTCTCTTACTAATGTGCTGGGAAGATTCTTTGTATATAAAATTAAACTTTAGGAGAAAATACTCACACGAATGGTACAGTCCCAGCTGGCAGTACATATTGCAGTCCCGTCTGGACTTGTTCGTAGACATGAAATCCTATTTTCATGACCGTATAGGACTGAATGACGCACACATTTTAGTGAATCCCATACACCAACACGATAATCACCATAACCGGCAAAAAGTATACGGCCTAAAAACATCATAGTGACGACTCAGGAATTGTGGGTATGTTTAGCGTCCAGCTCACTACAATCAGAAGACACGCAGTATTTTGGACTTGTGTACACTCCTGAATTGTGATTCCTCTGTTACTCCTCCTTTTAAAAATAATATCTACCAAGATAATTTGCTCACCGCTTAAACTAAAGTCGACACCGTTCACTGGAAACAAGACGGATTCTTTTTCATAAACACACACTTGTCGATCAGCGCGTAAATCAAACAATCGGCACTAAAACGTGAAAAAGTTTTATAACCTGAATTAACATATAACACAAAATTTTACGAAGCGCAACAAATGCAGCACGAGTTTTTACAATCGAAAAAAGAATTGACAAAAATGAAAAGCAATAAGGAACCAACTGAAGCATCATCCGAACCGGTAGCAAAAGCATCATTATTTGGATGAAATCTAACTGTATTGATGTCTGCTTCATGTCCTTCGAAACTCTGTACACACTGTCCAGTTCTTATATCCCAAACTAATGCATGCTTATCTGCTCCCTTAAAATAATAAATTTCCAGAAAATATGCACTATCATTTCAGAGTAAGTGAATGAAGATCTACCACTTCATTCATTTACTCTGAAAAGTAGGTCTGCTGGAAGCTTAAAGCTTTTTCCAGAACTTCTAAATGTAAAACGGAATGAATACAACAAAAATAAAATTCACCCCGGAAATAAAAATATTGCCAGTGTCGCTTTTAGGCACATCAATTGCAAAAATATCACCAATGTGGCCATGAAAATTTTGAATCATCTGACCACTCTCCACATCCCATATTGCACATGTTGAATCACCGCTACCAGTCAGAAGCTGTAAATAATTGAATATTCTTCCTCTGTTTAGAAAACAATTTTAGCTTTGCTTTGATTGCTTTCTAGAGAAACAGGAATGTTACGCGTAGTACACAAGAATAAATTTTCTATTTTGAGCATGTAAAATAAAAAATGAATAAATTGTCGAATGTCAGTAAAAATTACCAAATTGTCAGATCTTAGGAAAGTACAGCATGACATATAGCTTGTGTGTGTTGCAACCGATCGTTTCTTTTGTAGGATATCATCTTCAAAGCTCAGCGGTACCACTGAACATTTATTATCCAAACCACTAAAATCAACATGTAATACTTTACAAAACAACGATTTTGTTACAGAACGAACTTATTATTTTAAATAATTTAAAATGATAGCTTTAAAATTATGATACATGACGAAATCGCTATTTCATTAATCAGTTCCAAATTTTTTTCATTTAGATTCTCTGTATCAAAAAAGTTTTGATGGCATGAATAATAAAATCTAAAAACAAAATATTTGGACAACACAAAATACCCGCAAGCAATCATTTGCGCACTAGGGGAGTAAGCACAAGCCATCACCCATGTTGTTGGCATAGTTAAAGCATGTTCCTTATTCGTTGTAAAACCATCCCAAACGATTACTTTCCCATCCTGAACAAATTTAAATTTAAATGTTAGAAGTTCAATGCGCCGATAAACCTATTCTATAAGTCTATATTCAGTTTGGTGTGAAATATGCGTCATTATCTTGGTTCAAAGAAATACAGTAAATTATTCTTTGAGTTCCAAATTGAGAGGAGAGAAAAGCGAGTGACAGTACAGAAAACTTTGCTAACTCCAGTAACTGATCCTTTGCAAAAAAATCATTTTTTTTTAATTCAATATAAATATAAAATGAGTTGAAAGATTCATCTTCATCTGTAAAACAAATCAGGAACTATTAATATTTAACTTCATTGGTATAGGTTTCATATTTTGGCCCTGATGATTGATATGTGCCTTACATATGAAAAATCTTTCAAACCTAATGTAATTTGACACTTAAAAATTATCGTCCTTCAGTGAATTCTGATAACATCATTCAGGATATTCAAGGAAAATTTCGAAAAATGAAAAGAAAGTTGTTGAGAGTTTAGTAACACGAGAAAGTTAGAACTCAAAATTCAAAATTTGGAATTAGTAAAACCATACTGCATGTCCAGATGTTTCCGCCAAAAAATACATAATCATTGTTATGAAAGCAAGAACCTGTGAAGAAGAAACAATATGTCGTTTATCTAAGGACCAATCCATGCAGAGCACTTTCCCAGCATGTCCTTTCAATATACGACGTTGTTTAATATTTAGCTGTGTTAGTGGTTCCAGACTTTCAGCTGCTTGCTCAACTGAAGTAAATATACTAGAAAGTTTTAATCATGAATTACTGATAACATAACACAAATCAGTATTGTTCATTAATGGTCACCAAATGCTTGCTTTAGAAATAAAAATTGAAGTAATTCTTATCATATGACAAGATTTTCCAGAAAAATTAGCTTAAGAACACTGCAAATGAAAATGGTTTGAAGTGGATAATAATACTCTCAAGACTTACTCGACACATCGTTCAGTTTTCTTCGTTCCGCTTCCAGCTTTCTTCGGAGATCTTCTGCCTCACGGGCCAACACATCGACAGTGTCTGAACTTCTAAATTAACCAAAAGTCTATGAGAAATATTCTGAAAAATAATGAATGCGAAAGGTAAGGTATACAGGCAGCAGAAGACTAAAATTACAAATATTTCAACCTTGTTCCAGTCTCTACAGCAATGGCCTGAACAGATGCGATGATTTTTGCTGTGGATGGCTCATCAGCATTTGATTTTTCTTTTGTTTCCACTGGAGAGAAAAAACATTAAGATATCGTTCATTTCAAAGCGTATCAATTTCCTACGATTTTCTTATCAAAAAACGGATCCATCAATTCTGTCGAAACGAATAATCTCAGATACTTTCTATACAGAACGGAATCCCACATCTGCATTTCTTTCAAGTAAAAATTTATCTCTTCTCTCTTTTTGTCCATTTGATTATTATTTAAACAAAACAAGGTTGAACCTGGAGTACTATGTTCATCGCTCATCTCGACAGAACAGGACTGAAGACCAAGGATATAATCATATATTCGATACTTTTCTTTCCTTAAAAATTAAAAAAGACTCATCCAAAGTAAACACATTGTCCAATATTTTCTTACAAGTTAATTCACCAACAAACACCATGTTCAGAATCAATAAAAACGGTTAGAAAGAAGAGATCATTGTAAAATGAAATATCTAGGCTAAGCCAACGGAGCCAATTTGCTAGGCCACATCTAGATAGATATCTACTCGCTCCACTATCGAGTGGAGTCCAGTAGTACACGATGACTACTAATTTTGAAAAAGAAAAAACCGTTCCCCCTCCCTGAATCCCATACCACTTATTGCATATTTTCTCGTCCATCTGAACTTTTGAAAGAATTAAATTTTCATTCACTTCCATTTCTCGTAATATTTTCAAAACAAAAATGTCACACTGATGTAATCTATTTGTTACCGGTTTTTAACGTTGTTTCCAATACCTCATGTGTATGCGACTATAAAAGTGGTAAACAGAGAGTACCTCACTCTACTAATTCATGGATGTGAATTAAACCTACGCAACTGTAAGTTAGTAATGAACATTTCATTAGCAAAGAAGCATACTTTTCAGTTCACATATTCTTTCGAACTATCACGGTAAGCTCACAAACCAGTCGACCGTATTTAAAGATCTACTATAAATCCTAAAGATGACTACCCAGTCCAAGGACCTGATCACCTTATCAATCGTCTGCTAGAGGTCTTATAGAAGTGGATAATTATACTGGTTATTCCTTTGTGCATTCAAAAACGAAATTCTCCGTCAATCGCTAACTAGTGCTAAAGCACATCCAATATACATTATACACGTACTTTTGAGTTGAACTTATACTTCCGTATTTTCAGTACATGTGCATGAGTCATCCAACCTGACACATATTTCCTGATCTAATGATATTCTCTAGTCAGCAATTTAGTACTCCTGCCTAAAGGAACTATTTAGAGAAAAGACTTTGAAATGATAGCATGGATCACGAATCAACCGTGTCATCATTCCTGAACTTGGTGCTTCAGCTACTCTCCTTCAAACCTACGAAACGTGTCTAATGATACAGTAATAATGATCAAAGCGAAATGATGATTGCCAGGCCAACTATTATTAATGTTTTCCAAACTTGCTACGGAAACGATGCTTGCTCTTTCCTTGATACAAGCAATTGAATCAGATAAAATTTACTTCTTCTCCTCCTACTACTGCTATCCATTAATAACCAAAACGACGAAGATACTTCTTCTATTCCTAGAGACAAATTCAGCCAGAGACAATAACAAATGCCACAATCGTAAGCTATGCAATTATGCATTAGGTAATACAAAAAGCAATTTGTTTTTAGTGAGAAAAACTTTACCCTTACTTTCTGTAACCTTATCATTACTTTTATTTTACAAAATATCCTTTTTCAGAGAAGTTAGTTAAACCGAATACAAAAAACACTGGACAGTGAATAACATAACTCGTTTATTTTGTCATTTCTGAGCATACTGTATTCAAATCTTGAAAAACATTGAAAAGTTTACTATACCATCCACATTTTACCGACATTGCTTTTTCACGGAAAAATTCTTATGTTTTCTCAAAACCAGTTCCTTGCTAATTCGCCATTTCCTATCTGAAACTCATTTTATTTGAATTTAGTCCTCACAATTCCCAAACGAGTAGTACTGCCGTTAACTATTACTAACAGTAAAAACTACTAAATATTGAATGATACAAAAATAAAGATGTTACCAAAAAAAAGCTTGTTTTAACGCTATCAACTATATTAAAAAATTTGAAGATTACATTTACCAACAAATTGACCTTCTTAAAGTAGCATTAAAACTTCAAGAAAGAAATAATCTATATCAAATGTGGAATTATAACACTAAAACAGAGTCTACAGAAAGATAAATCGATCTTAGGAATAAAAAACTGATTTCAGGAATACGAAAAATAAGTAGAAGAAACACAAGATTTATTTCTGTACAATTAAAAAAACAATAGCAGAGAACTGAGAAGACCATGAACAATAAATTTCATGCAGTGACTCGCTGAGAAATACTCTGTTGAGCATTCTTGGTTGGCATAGATTGCGTTTGTGCTGGTTGCAAAGGTGGCCGAATTGGTGCTACACGGTAAAGAGGCGAATTTTCCAGTTTCTGGCGCAAAATACCCGTTAAAATTACTTCTACATTGTGCACGGCTGTAAATAAGTCTTTTTTAAGAAAAGGCTTTAATTTTTTTTTAAAAATCAAAAAAATGAAATTTCAATCAAGTGACTTATAAATCATAAACAAGTGAAACGTACGCATTCCACAATCCGTTAAATACTGCAAAAGATGTACATCACTGTCATTACCAATCAGTAACAGCAATGACTCGGTCTATAAAACCTGTGAATTACAAGTAAGAACTAAGGAAATTAAAATTCAATAATCGATAAGTGAATAACATCGGGTAGTAGTTGGTACGATTTAAAACAATTAAGATTCAAGCAGTGAAAATGAATATCATTACCTCAATGCAGTGTATAACATATTGTGGTTGAGGTCTTTCCCTTAACACGGTACCCCCAGCAAGTTCAATCAAAGCCAATAATTCCTCGTAGGATGGCTCAACACTCGGAGTCAAGTAAAATGTTACATCCTGAAATACGGAATGTTTCAACTAATATAAATGAACATTTATTTTAAAGCAAAAAAAAAAAAACCATTATATGATTTTCATAAGCGAAAATTGAAGTAACAATTCAAATTTAAGAATACTTAAACTACAAGTATACCTGGAAAAGCTTTCGATAGCGTGCTTTCAAAACACTGTATTTCAGATTGTAACCAAATATTTTCTCATTTTCATCATCTCGAGCAAAGTAATCCAGTGAATCTGCGTTTTTTTTTTTTTTTTTTTTTTTTTTTTTAAATCTTAAACATATCAATTCCAAACTTATTAACATTCCTTTTCATCCAAGTTGATTTTTTTCAGTAAATCAAACACAGTTTTGCTTGTTTGTCGGAGATTCCAATAACTTACCTGGGATAACGCGACACCGGTAACCATCACTAACCCAGTTTGGCCCAACAATATTTTTTCCCAATGCTATTGCTTCCAGAAGCTTAAGTGTACGCCACAAATTAAGTACCACTAAATGTGTGCATTCTTGCACTTTTTCAGTAGTCGCACCACCAAGAAAACGTACTTTCTGAAAGGTATAATAATCCTCAATTATAATTCTCTATAATAATCAGTTAATCTCCGATTTACCTCAATAATGTTGGAATAACCAGTTCAGGCTACCTCATTCAAAAAATAAAAAGTTCAGAAAACTCTAATCCAGCTGTTAAAAATGGAAGCATACTCTTCCTAATGCATCCTTTTCTTCGGGAGTGAAACCGCTGAAGCATACCACCGGAACTTCTTTGAGGGTACCCATTTCAGACCTTCTTGTTTCAATTTCTTCGTCGGTTGGTGGTGGAGTTGTCATGCTATAATGGGCTGAGTAAATTCTATACATTTCTATGTATTCCAAATTCAAAATTATCACTACAGATTCGAAGTCTTGCCAAAAGCTTACCGAAATCGTTTATTTGGAAAAATATTTTTATCATTTTCCACATTTCTTTTAACTTCTAACGCTCGTTGCCATTGCTCATTTGCAAATACAATTGGTATTTTCCATGGAACTGAAATCTGCTATTTCATTGTGAACAACAAAAGTATTCAGTGAGTAATAAAAGAGATTGTGCTTTATAACTAATCGAATAAACATTTTTTATATTTTTAGTTATTTTGGCATCATTCATCTAGAACATTCTGAGGAAACTGATTTAATATTATTAGTCTTTAAAGCAAGCTTTACTTGACTTCTCCCCCTCTGGACCAGAATTTATGTCTATTCGTTACACACTTCCGCATTAACCTAGCATATCTTGCAAACTTTTACACGAAGGATTTGCTCCCTAATAATACAAGAAATAACCGAAAACTCTAATTCTAGGATGAAACTGATGAAATATACTGAAAATTTTATTTGCAACCAAGAAATGTATATAATACGCATAGCCCACTCAGGGATTTTAATAAAAAAAAGTGAATTTAACAAAGCACAAACATAGGAACTGTTTGCATGCTTCTGAATAATGTTCCATATTATAAGGGGTAGCATTCGTGTCCGAGACCATCCCCGGAATGGGACTGCAATTTTCATTTTCATTCACTGCATTCTTGATACCCAAATAAATGTCAACCAGCCATTGATATGTTACAACTGAAATGCCCATTTCGTGGCATCGTTCTATTTTTTCGCCTTCAGATCTAAAACAATAACTGATTCACTTACTTTCCAATGTGAAATAACTGTTTGCATTAGATAATACATTAGCTGCATTTCAGCCTTTAAAACTTCTTCTTATCAAGGGAGAAAATGCAAGATAATACAACCATAATTAAAACAGTGAAGAGCAAAACAGAAATTTTCATACGTTTTCGTGACTAAAAAATGGTTATGACTAGTAAGATGGGGAGTATATCGGGCTCCTATGGCAGTAATCATCATTCGTACACCACACCGTTCATTTTCATTGAAGCCGTTTATTGTTATTATCTATAAAATGCTGTTTGCTAGTTAAATTTACGAAAAAATTACACCAAAACAAAGAATTTGGTGAAGTTCTCCTTAAATTCTTTAGAGTGTTTCAATGTTCCAAATATATCATTGTGCTCCTCAATTTCTTTAAATCTTTTTTGATTTTTTGGCCCTCTTCTTATTTCCAATCAACACAGTGTCCCTTCAACTTCGAGATCATCATAAAACTCAATAAATTCATTTTAATTATTACTTTGCCAGTAGCTGGTCTGTGATTATCGGTCCAAAATGTTGGCAGATGAAAAACACGCCAGGGTGCTTCAAGATGCTTCTTGCTGAGAACATCATTTAACCAGTGCAGTGTCACACATCGCTTACCCCTCTTCAGTGCCTACAAAACTTCAAACTGGTGTCATGTAATATATGCTGTTCCTGCCGATATGGGAAACAGAAAAAAATCGGAAGACAAGCTGTTATTCTCTAATATCTAACAGAAGTGTAAACTTAAATGCGTTAAGAGCTTTGTTCAGGATGATTTCATATCAGGTCAGATGAACTTCAGCAGTTTCCATATGCTGGTGGATTTTACGCTGCGCATATCATCCAATATGCGCAGCGTAAAATCAGCCAACTGCTTTATGAGAATTAGGTTAGATTGAAGACATAGAAAAAAAGTGGAAGACTTGTCAAACTTGCAAAAAAAAGAGTATACTAAACCTATATAACACAAAAATGAATAAATGACCAAACTGAACTGCCACTAATTGCAATCACCTGTTGAACTAACGGATGTCGCATAGATTCGCAGATAACATGGGTCACTCGATCGCTGTTCACATTATTGTAAGCCCGTACACCAAATTCGATTTCACCACCATGTAATCTAACAACGGCACCTATTTCCTGCACATCTAAACGATCCACCAACACTTTTTCATGCTCAATGACCACGAAGAAACAACCGACAAGGCACATGTCTGACTGCACTGTAATTTTTGGACGTTGAAATACATAATTGTATTCTTATGACCACAAAAATAATTTTTAAACCTTCAAATGTGGAATCTAAAATTGATTAGAACATGTTAAAAGTAGTACCACTTCCAGCAACATTTGGATCGTGTCCGTAGAAAGGTGTCGTTTGCTGCACCATACGGATATGAGAACTCACAGCAGGACTACTACTTGGTTGCATATCCACTGAAAAGGAGCACATTGACTCCATTAAAAACTGAATGGATATAAGTGCAAAAAAGACAAGATTCCAGGAAAATAAACTCTTAATCCTTTAAAAAAGTTTTGGAAAAACGTATTTCAAAAAAAAATTAAGGATGAATAAGTTGATTCTGCAAAAACCAAAGCAAGTGAAAAAACATCCAATGCTTTGAAAAATAATATAGAATCCATAGAAAGTGTTAGGAAAAAAAGTGATAAAATACGACGAAAATTAGCTTACTGTTTGAAATATTCCGTTGCAGTGCGGTGTTAACGGGAGGTGTCAAGCCAGTGCCAGCAGCTTGCAAGACAGCACCAGGAACTGAGGCTTGAGTTGGAGACATCAGCTGGGGTGAACGCATATCGTGACCAGATGGCGTCTGATAACATGAATTTATCGGAGCACCAGGTGCTTGGCTTTGTACTGCTCCTTGTGCTGAATATCTTGCTGTAAAATAAGCCCCTTGATGTGCAAGTCTTTAGCTAATTAATACTTTTTAAACATATCTAAATAAATTTTTCTTCACAGAAATGAAAAACTGTTTTCATAATTTCATTCACAAATAAAATTCAAATTTTGTTTATCATGGTGATCAAAATATATTTGATTTTCATCAAAATTTCAAGGACAGTTTTGAATTGCTGAACTTGACCTTTTTATTTTGCATTAAACATAGTTGCCCCATTCCAGCACTCTGATTTTTTCCTAAGAAAGAGGGAGGAATAACTGACTACTTTATGACACAAGCATTCACTCAAAGATGCATCAATGTGTATTTCATTTTCCATTTTACAAATATTCTTTTGCCACTTTGTGTAGAGAGTAGACTATGTAATTTCAAGTCTTATTATCGACTGCAAAAAAGTATTCTATCTTAAAGTACTTTCATTCATGCTTCCTTTTATCCAACAATTTCTCCACTGATGAATTCATCACTCCAATAAACGCGGAAAAGCTTTTCATAGGAATGCAAAAAAAAAGTAATTCATTATTTTGAAGGTTTTTCTCCACTGATGAAATTCGTCACAAATCCTAATAGAAAGCTCAAGAAACAGATATATCCGAAGATTTGTAGTTGCAACTACTTTTATACACAATATGTTGAACTTTGGGATTTTTATGAACTGCACAGCACATGTTGACTTCATTTATTTTTTATACAGCTAAGAGTGTATATATCCGATTTTTCGGATGTATATGTTGACTTTATTTATATTTATACTATACTGTTGATATATCCGATTTTTATATAGCTAAGTGTATTTTTATTACAGTATTGCTAAATCACTAATTCTATCAGTGAACTCACTTTCTCGATATTAAAAAGAATAATCCAAAAATTCAGAATTTATATTCAACATTAATGATGACATAATAGCATACCAACGGGTGAATACTGCTGAGGTTGCAAATTTGATTGCTGATTAGCTGGCGTTGAATTTGGAGCTGGATACACTGCAAAACATGAGGTATTAAATCAAAAAGCAAATATAATCTTTTACAAAAATTACTTTACTTCATCAAAGTTATCAAAGCATTACTCCAAACCCACAACTTCCCGTTGATCCACTTAAAACTTTTATCAGCATAATAGAAAAAAGCTGGCAAATCCAACATAATAGGTAGATTTGCATTTCACTAATCTACAAATAACATTTCACTAAGTAAACATTTACTTAAATAAATAACTAATAACGACACTAGCAATATAATAATAACAATTAGTACCATTAATAGTAATAGTAATGACTTAATTATTATTATTAACAATAATGATAATAAATGACAATAATAATACTTCATTTTCATTTCATAAAGAAAATTGTAAAAGGATATCTTTGTTTTATAACGTCATTAATATCAGTAATGAAAAGAAAGTGCTGCATGAAGCTCAAACGTGAATTTATTTGTATGGAACGACAAGTTCTTTGCTACTAAAAATTGAAATGAGAAAGTAAAATAATCCAGATGAGGTTAAACAAATTGACGAAAGAGAAATGCTGTAAAGTATATGTTGGGAGAGAAAGAAGGGCAAAATCAATTAAGGCACTTGTTAGAAGCGATCAAATGGCGCATCCTATCCTTCATTCACCTAGAAATATTAAATCAGGTGTCTAATCCACTAATGCGCAGATATTTCTTTTGTGCTGCAGGACGACGAAGGCCTATGTGCCTTCACTCGATGTCATACTGTCACGCATAAAATTCACGGAGTTCTTCAGAAGTCCGTGAGTATTGAGTTCACCACATAAATACCGTGGGATCGTAAAATAATGAAATTATTACCAACTGCTGAGAATTTGATAAATGACTTGAAGTATATATTCAAGAAAGATTTGGATGAGAAAGAATTAGAAAAAAACATTTGAATTTTATATATCGTGCATTATCATATTTACCATTTATTCGAATTTCTTGTACTGCAGGCATTTGTTCCGAGACCATCGCTTAAAGAGTAGCACTTTAAGAGCTTCTTTTCAAGAATCGTCTATCTATATCTTTTATTCATGTTACACTACCACTTTTTATTTCTTTAAGCTTTTGAGCTTCCAATACACTGTGAAATCACTTCGAAACATGTGAATGAACAAACTACTCGCTTTTTTGTTTAATAATACAAGTCTTATTTATTTCCTTTTGTTACAGTATTATTTATTTTCTCCTTTATTTAAGAGTGAAAAGAGTAGAAAAATCCAAGAAAAAAAAATATTGACCAGTTAAAGAAGAACAGAAATGACATGAAAGATTCACGAAAATAGGAAAGATGAATGAAATAGTAATGGGAAAGAAATGAAAGATTGGAGCAGGATAAAAATCATTTAATAAGGTACGAGAGACCTTAATAAAAACATTTCTATCGTGGAAATGAGGGATGATAGAGGAAGGTCGTTTTCACAATAGCAGATGGCCGCGGGAACCTTGATGTAAGTCATTCTCGAAACAACCCTTATTTGTAGTCAATCACTAATATCACTACTGCTTAAAAGGATATATACAAATGCAATCACTAGATTATTTTGATTTTTAGATAAGAAAACGATCGAATAAAAAAATATTCTCAGAAAAATCAAAAAATCCTAGTCATATTATTATATTACTTCACAGTTTAACATAAATGCTTCACAGTTTTACATGCTTCACAGTTTAACATGAATTCGTAGTTGTAATAAGCGTGAATTAGAACACATCATTTGTGTGGAAATATGAAAACATTTAAGCTTTCAGTGGTGAAACAAAAATGGTGTGAATGGGGAAGGAAATGAAATGAAGGTGGGAGAAAGAAAGTGAAGAGTTGAAAAAATTGATATTACAAAGAAGTTGGATGATGCGCTCACTTATTGCAAAGCTGTCGTTAAATATAATACTTGTTAAATAGTGAAACCGATTGAAGACGAACATGGAAATTTAGAAGAACGAAACGACAGAAACTTCATTATTCTGCAATAACAAACGCATGAAGTTCTCATACTAGCTGTTATATGTACGTTACACTATAACTACGTTTACTCTAAACAGTTTAACATATCAGCACCTTCACACAGAAAAGCTACACAGTTCCATTGTGATTTTCATTATAGTATCACCAGCATATCCATTTAAAATCTTAATGAAACGCAGCCTCAAGTATGCTGTTAAGGAAAAGTGTTGTGAAGTGAATCGAAAAAGATTGTACTGCCGTAATGGAAACGACGTTTAATGAAATCACAAGAAAAAGTTAGAAACCTAAGAATAAACGTTTGAAGATTCAATGAATTTTTGTCCTATTTGAGGAATCCTGCAGCAAGCACTGAATATTAGATTTAATGCTCTACTTAAATTTTAAGTATTCCAGCTTAAGATTGTACAGATTCAATCTTGTGACATTTGGCAGTAAAACAAACAATCAGCAGCGAATAGGAAATAATTTATTTATGTGAAGCGAATAAAATAAGTGAATAGAAATCGGATATTGGAGGACCGAAAAAGAAAAATGAGTCTAGGCTAGATTTGGAACCGAGAAAAGAGAAGTAGCAACGGCAGTCATCGGCGGAATGGAGCAACAAAGGGAGGTTATGGAGCTAATGTATAGCTTGAAGGCATTTTAAGAGGCAATTTTATTGCCTTAAAACACACACTACTCCGATTGTAAACGAGCTTTTTAGTTGGCATCGGTGTCAGAGTACTGAAAAGAAAGAAGGTGAAGACGACAGGAAGTTATCAAACGGATTCCAGTATTGAAATACACTAAATATATATTCAGCACAACACCAGACAATTAATTGGCCTTTTAATTCTCACTCACTTACTCATTGTTGTCTCATTCCAGGAAAAAAGTATGCAGAAATTTATTCACTCACTATTGATTTCTGACATCAAGTGTACTGTGTCCCTATATATATATATATATATATATATATATATTTGAAGCATTATAAGTTTTTTTAAGAAACACGATGACAGTTGATTTCAACTTCTTAAACAACTAAGGATGCAAACTTCTCGAAGCAGAGAATATAATTACTAACACCAATTTCTCTTTTCGAAAATGTAAGTTTACCCAAATATCATCTTTGAAGTAGAACTAATCAATAAATAACTTTGTGAAAACCTACAGTTAAATTTTCGAATTACGAGAAACTAAATGATAACAAATGATAATGAATAAGTAACGAATTTAATAGCTCAATATCACAATCAAACAGGTTTTATACCAAAACAAAATGCTCCTTTCTATACGAAGCAGATACAGCGAATGCTTGTGGATCAAACGAACGGAATGTAATTTTTAGTTTATGAAAATATCTTGATGAATATCGCATCAGTAAATTAGAAACATAACATGCAACTGCTGCACTGCAATATTCACGGTGATACACTTCCCTCTAACTTTTTTTTGTTCAGAATAACTGACAATAAACAATCATAAATCACAATTGTCAATTAGAAATTAGCACTATTAACTTTAACATCATGTAACTGAATAATATATCCTTTTTTCAAAAGTTTCATTAAATATATAGCAACATAATCCCAATCCTGCTAAATAATATGCGAATTTAATGACTGCACTTAATGAAGACAACTATTAAATATGGTCACAAATTATCATGCTAGCTACTGTTCCTAATTTCCATGATATGCTTCCTTTTCCTGTTTACTTATTTATTTCACCACTTCATCTTTCTTCTCATCTGCTTACTTAGCAGTGTCAACAATTAATATTTATTAGTGTACATAAATACATTTACACCTAACTATCAGCCATGACATAACACATTTAAAGGACGGAAATAAGAAAGATTACCGACATCAACCGCCTGTCAACTAAAATGGTATGGTGTACAGAGAAATTATAAAAAGGTTAAAGATCAAAGGCGATAAAAATGTTTCCAACAATTTGTATGACCACTTCTACCTATCAGTTATGCATTAATTTTTATGCATAGCCAATACACACTGCAATAATTGTTAAATCTTTCAAATAACACAGAAAAATACAGAAATTGAAAAAGTGTGAACAATGAAAACTCAGGAAATCTCACTGATATATCTAAGAAATTAAAAGAAATCAAAAAAATGTCAAGATGAAGATAGCTGCTGACTTATCAAAAACGAATATTGTAAGAAGAGGAAAGAATGAATGAAAAGCGCATATTTCCCGACCAGTGACAGAGTTGCAAATCAGTTTGACAACATGGCGAAGGATCCTGAAATTCAATCTCTCCACATTCTGTATGATAAGACATATAATGACCGCCCTTACTTCTTCACTCTTCCAACCAATTCCTTCATTTCCCTCGTGCAAATTTCTTCAAAGCAAATACGGTGCCTCTTTTAATCAGATGTTGTCCAGTGATATTGATCACAGACCTGTCTAATTCAGTACTCAAACCACTTTTGTCGTAAATGAAAACACTTAAGAATGAGAAGTCAAGCATACATTGCTCCAAATTGATTATTTGCTTAAAAGTCTTCAATATTCTTCAAGAGCAAAGAAGTTGAAAGTAATTCATTCATTCGTTGTTTAGTTGAGAAAACGATTACGATATTTAGTCATATAGTAACTCACGGTTCAATCCAGTATTGCACAAAAAAAGCATGCCTTTGCTTCGTTTATTTAATCATGAAATCATAACCATCCAAACTATTTCCCATTTCTTCCTTTTTATTTTCCTGCGTAAATTTTGCAGATTAAAGTAACTATTTCAAATTCATTTAATACATGCATGCTATTATATGTGACTCATCTTATTTAGAAATCAAGCAATGATTTTTGGCAAACAAATGAATAAACTACGATTTTTCATAACCTTCATTGGTTTTCTCACACTTCGTGGGATGTTTCTCAGTTCATTACAAAATAAAAAAAAAATAATTGATTTCAATATCACTAGCATAATTAATAAAATAGAACTATAAATACATATACATTCGAAGTAGCAGCTTTGAAAAACTGATGAAAAATGAATTACTAAGATTGGAATAAGACTGGTTCTTTTCCCTCATTCTTTTCTCCCCACTCAGCTCCACCACCATCGGAAAACAGCAATACGTCTGGAACACACTGTTTTAATAGAAGTTTTGAACCATAAACATGTCATTATTTCCCATCTCGGCCTCAATTTATTTTCAATTTGTTGTTTCTCATTCAAGTTCAAATAAGATCTTTCTAGAATTATCAGTATTACGATTTTTTTTTTTTTTTGAAAGGATTTTTTTTTTTTTGAAAGGATCTTGAAATGTTCCCAGCGAAGAATAACGGCTGTGTTATACATTAAACAAAATAATGGAGTCAAATTAAGTTAACAATAAAGAAATCTAAGGTAACATTTCTTTAAATAATACCCTTCCAAGGAAAATAAATAAAAGTACTTTGATAAAAATCAGTATGAAATTTTATGTAACTAAAAGAAGTAACAAAAATGATATGACGAAGCAATATGATATAATTTTGACTGATAACATACATTTAGCAGCAACGTAGATCATTTTATATGTATACCATGGGATGAATCATAAAAAAACAGGTGAGTGAAATGAAAAAGTGGAAGATGAGTTCAATGCTAATCTTTAAGGAGCAGATGTGATTCGGTGTCGTATTCACTTTCACTATGAAAAAGGACAACGACATACTGACCTTTCTCCTACTTCACACAAACACACACTTTCCTCTCAAGTAACTACATCACGGTAAGTGCTTGCTGCTCGCTTCCCCAACAAATCTGACAATTGTTTTCCATCTACTGAAACGTCAAATACAGCCTGTTCTCTCCTCCTTTTCCTCCCAACACACCAACAAATGATCCGCATGCATTAAAATAGCCTCAACAAATTCTCTAATACTCCAAAATATTTCGCATCATCTCGCGATATTTGAATTTCTCTGAAAATTTAGTTACAAAAGGAGGAAAACTGATTGATAATTTTATAAAATGTGGGAATAAATGTAGAAAAATATGTGAATAAAATATGAAAATAAGAGTACTACAAGCGAAGGAAGAGTTGATCGAAAGGAAGTAAATAATAGTAAGGATGAGGAAGAAGCACCATTACCATTAGTGACAAGCCGACGTCAGCACAAGCGGCGGCTATTAACATCACAGATGTCGAGACAACACTTGAAGTGCGGAAATAAATGAACTTGTGCTTCTTCCTTTTATTCTTCGATTAATTCACTAATGTGCAATAAATCACTGACGAAAAAAATAAAACTGACAATATATTTAAAAAAAAAAAAAAAAACTTTGAAACAGAAAATGGGCTCATAACAGATGGACTGAAAGGGTGAATTAGCAGATGCAACTTGGTACGGCAGTAAGAAAACCATATATGGACACGTCTAACCTGCAGCTGCTGCATCACTGCTTATTCTGATAACGGATAATCTTGTAAGAAAAGTTCAAATACAGCAATGATAAAGTAATCATTTCCAAAAATGAAACCGCATCGATATCAGATTGCTCAATTGCTTAAGCAAATATATATTAATGCTACTTTTTTCTCTTTTACAATATATACTAATACTATCTTACAATATATTAAAAATACTAATGCTACCGCTCAATAACTGCATTAAAAAAAATCACACTCAACTCTAGACACTAGACAAAAAGCATAACATATTTCGAATATGTGCACTATCAACAAAATGTCTTATTTGTCGTTAAATACCTTATTAAATGAATAAATGAATAATTAAGCTAACAATTTTTAGGGATAGATATAGATAAAATCAACAAAAGAATTGTGAGACCCGGTGGCTAAAATCGCCTCGAACGTCCCAATTAATGAAACTAAAGCAATATTCAAAAAAAAAAACAGTTGACAGAAACCTGGCATTTCCCTCATAGAATCCGTCAAAAACTACCAGTTATGTTTTATAAGCAAAAAATGAAGTAAAAAAGGGTACAGTTAAGGCGCCGATACCAACAACGAAAATGATAATTTAACAATAAAGACACAACATTTGAGACTGACTGCAATTTTATAAAAACACAATTAATCGAAATTAAGAAAAATTTAAAAGCTTTGAAGTTCAACTTACTTTGAACTTTTGACATCATATCATTCAATGTTCCCGGACTTGGCAGCGCCAAAACTTCTTCGCCCTGTTCCTCTTCTTTCAACATCAATGACAAGTTTGATTTCGCTTCTACTTCAATTGGTTGTGGAATTTCCAAACTATTAGAATTACGGAAAATTTTATTCCCCGTTGAAACAGTCGTGCCTAATTCCAAATTAATACCGATTCCTGTGCTCGGTTAATTGAACCGATCACACATGCATCTCTTCCTTGACTATAAGCTGCAACCGCATCCGATTGCAACTCTCGCAGCTGGTAAAACATTTACATTGTCATGTTAGTCTTTTTCTGCTCGAATCGTGTCTATCAGTATTTGTTACGAAGAAATCAGAAGCAAAGCAATAATGCCAACCTTCAAAAATGAAATAAATATTCGTGAATGATGAACCGAAGAGAACTGCTGGACATATTGATATTGGATGGTTCGAAAGAGGAGTATGGCAGTTTCCAGATGAAAAATCATTTCCAAGCCTCAATTCTAAATGGGTATTGCTACTATTATGTAGGTTCATTTCGTTTAGACCCAGCTTAAAGATCTTAAGAAAGTAAGGAAAATCTATGAGAAATGAGAGGAAAAAAAAAATTTAATCAGCTACAACGAACATAACATAATATAGCATGATCCCAGCAGAAGCACTTAGAAGTGAATATAGTTGGCCTTTTGGGGAAAGGGAGGAAGAGGAATGGGTAAACAGGAGCAGATGAAGGACAGCATTATCTTCGTATGCAAAGAAAAGACAAATTATTGCTTTTTTTAATGAAAAGAAAAGCCCTGTATGTTGAAGCAGGAAGGATTTTAACGTCATAATATTTTTCATACTGAAAATTTCTTTTGAAAAAATCTTTCTCTCTAGTTTGACTGAAATTCATGATTGAATAAGGTATAAGCGATATTGCAAGGATATGCTTCTATTGCGTGTGAAAAATAAGAAAAATGGAATGTACGAAATGAATCGAAAACATCGTATAATCTAGGACGAAGTTTGGCAGAATCGAAAAATAATAGTGGAAGAGGTAGAGAGTTTGAAAACGTTAGACCAACAGTAAGAGAGCAAATTGTGGCATAAACACAACATCGAATTCGAATAAATTAAGAAATAATGTTAAAAATAATATGGGAGATGAACAAGAAATTAAACAAGATTAGAGAAAAGCAAGAAGGATGAAGAATGTAGCTGGATTAAGAATGGGTTCCATGAGCTACCGAATGTTGAAAAGAGATGAATGAATGAATGATAATTTACGACATAATCTATTTGATAGCTTCCTAGTAAAGCATTCTTCTAATAATGAATCTAAGGGAAGGTATGAAATTGAATTCCATGCCTATATTGCAGACTTGTCGCATCCAATGCAGCTGCTAAATAATCCGTCCACGCATAAACACTGTGGTAGAGTGAGAAGGAATAAATACTTGGACTGGAGATAAGCACTAATGATTTCTTATGAAGCAGCACCAATCATTTTTCTACTTGCCATTCTACGATCGAATAATTAACTGAGGGAATTTCTGAATGCTTGCTTATAAATATCTAATAGAGAAAAGAAAGAATAAGAACGCCTGTATTTTGATGGATAAAATTGTTCGTGAAAATAAGTAGGAGGAAAAAGAAACTCACGTATGATGTTTGGGAAGTTCTGTAAAGTGCAGAAAAAATCAAAAATGGTAATTAGTGCAAGTTAGTTTTTCGATTTAGATATCAAAATGATTACAATTAGCAAACAAAAGATCACGGAGCAGTGTTCAATCCAGTGCAGTTACTTTATGTATCTGTTATTATCTCGCTATACATTTTTAGAAAATTTTTAATTCTTTAAATGCCAAAACAAAAGGAAGCTTTAGCGTTTTTAGGAATTTACTTTATTACATCAAATATATTTTCCAAATTTGTAGTCTAATGCGAAATTATTCATGCTTATAGAAATTGAGAATGAAAAAGTAAATAATTTTGTGTCGTATACAATACCTCGAAAGCTTGGGCAATTTCTAGAAAAGACTTCTACAGAAAAAACTGAAATTTTAAAGTTGAGAGAGATGTTAAAATATTTCTATCCTGTAAATAACAGAGGAAAAAAAAATTTACCACGCTTATTAACTTACAATGCTAGAATCAGTATAGGATGGAAAATTTTTTCTGCATTTCCATTTCATTATATATCGCAATAATTTGAATGGTGAGGTAACTTCAGGCAAAGCAGTTGCCGTAAATAAGTTATTGGCCATTATATTGATTTCATAAATGCACTCAGCAACACTACGACACTTACAGATATGTTTCAACACCAATTTCAAAAATACGCAATAAATTAGAAATATTAGGAATGTATAACGGTAATATTTCAACGATATTATAATTCCACTTGCATTTAATGAATTTGTTAGAAAAACCAAGGCAGAGTTCATCCCACTTCTTTAAATAAGCCATTTTGAATAGCTGATGAGTTTCGTTGACTACTTTAAAGAAAAAGGAGAAATCATTCGAGCATTTCTAATCTCAAATGTCATCAGCCCTTCAAAGCCGTGTGTCAGCAAAACGCGTGTAAAAAAGCTATTAAAATTTTGTTCGAAGAACCGAACAAGAAAACCACACCTGTAATAAAAGATATGCTGCTTTTTAATAGCTCCCCTCTTTTCTAAAATCAGTGCTAAAAGTGGGACGAAGATGTGAAATAAGAAATCACATATTCAACCATCGTTTTAAATGAGTAAACAAACTCAATTTTGTTATGCGTAGAAAGCGAAAATATTGTTAATAGATGAATGAATTGAAGAGTAAATTATTAAAGGTTCATGTTGTTAAAAAAGGTTCATGCTTAAGAATAAACTAATGAAATCGCATTCTTCAAAATTCAATGCTTGTCACCCCACGAACAGTACATTGTAGTAATTTACTTCTATAGGCGTTCATTGCAACTATCGGCAGAACGTGGAAGGAAAATACAACTGGCTGTAACTTACATTAATAAAAAACAGTGCAGTAATACTGCATAAAGTCCAGCTCTTAACTGCCCGTTAACCTATTAAATAATAATAAGAAAGACAAAGAAGAAGTAACCAACAGTAAAGTAAAGGGCGTTCATAAATATTTCTTAATTAAAAACCAAAGAATGTGTGATATTTTTCGAAATGGATATAAATGAAAAATGAATTCAATTTATGACTCAGCTGAAGACTGAGGTAAATTATCACTACAAATTATGTACTAATAATTAGATAGTCAGATGAAGTCAGTGCTAATGATATCTTACTTCCTTTGCATTATAATGAAAACATTCACTATCATTTCGCACACTCTCTCACAAATCATGAGGAATATAGCCAAATTTATACGAAAAGAAATTTACTTAAATTATGACAATAACAGATGAGATATACTGCAGAGAAATATGTGCGAAATGAATAGTGAATCAGTGAATGCAGGGGAATGAACACTGCTGAGTAGCCAAAAACAGGTTTAATTATCTGTTCATAAGAAATGAAATGTCACAAACGGCAGGAAATAATAAAATGACGAGATTATTTTATCTCAATCTGCAATCCCAAAACAAAATACAGTCCATTAACTAATGGACGTTTAAGCCAACAATCTGCACACATGGAAAAGCTCCAGATGTCTAAACCAAGTCTTTTTCCATGATTGCCAACTCTGACATTATGATTCATTTCAAAAGCTAATCACTCTGCGAGGAGATAATAAATCTGAGTATCCATGTGTGTTGTGTGTTTCTGGATATGTTCTGCCTGTATAGAGAGTAGGGTAGTGAATGAGGTTCATACATTCTGAATTCAATTATGAATACATTAATGAGCTTTCAGAAAATGCATTTAGAGTTGCTAACTGCTAACTGTTTGCAGTCGATGATGCTAACCCTAAGGCAAATTAACACCATTTGTAGAACAGGACAAAATTAAAGGGCATGATGTTCTGTTAACAAAATCTTGTCAATTCTCGTTAAGAAAAACAGCAATTTATAGATAAAGAAGCAGAAAGTAAATCACCTATCATGGATAATTTATATAAGGTTAAAATCATATACCCATATTTTCTTATTCGTAAAGAAATTCTTCTGCAGCTCTCATTCCTCATTCATCTAATTTAACTACTCATAATTTTCTACAAAATTGCTATTCTACAATAATAACTTATCCTAATGCAGCATGTTCGCTAACATCTGAATTTTAGCCAATATCGAAAATGAAATTATGCAGAAAGCAACAAATACTACACTATGGTAACATTAAATATCAGTCTATGAGATCGAACCAAACAAACGGTAGTTCTATACAACTTTCACCATTATGAGAAATCAACAATTGCTGTGATCAAATTCATGACATGTGAAAGTGAAATTACATGATATGTGACATATTACAGACTTATCAAAAAATTTTTCTTTGAGAATTATTTGTTTTGCCAGTCAAACCAATACTTTCTCATGAGCTACGAACCATATTTTTTCGGCAATTTTGTAACTAAGCAGGATAAATCTGAGTTTCCAGGACTTTACTTTTTAAATGGTCGAAAAAGAAACATAGCTTTACTACATGTCTTAATCTATTATTACATAAATAAGCAGGGTCAGATTTGTAGGATCTTGAAGATTTGTCAGATTTTGCAGATTTGCAGGACTTGCTGCTTTTGTGAAAAAGCTGACTTGAAAAACAGACTTAGACGTTTAAAAAAATGCCAAACGTGTACTTTTAAATGAAAGAGAAAACTAATTATTCTTTGTCCTTGTTACTGAAAACGAATTACTTTATTATATTCTGTGGAGAAGAAAAAGGATGAGATTATAAACAATAATAAGGGCTGAGAGAGAGAAAAGTGAAAAACAGAGATTATCCAGCTAATAAGATAGATTCGTAATTCTTGCAAATCCTGTTAACTCCATCCAGAAACTTATCAATAACTAGACCACAAGTTTATTAGAATAATGAAATGTCTAATCATCCGACAATCACAAAAACATTTGCAACCAATCACAACAATTTTTATCATTCCACTACTTTTGATACAGTTGCTTTCCTTAAAACAGATTCTATACTTCAACAGTTTTTTAGCTCAGAAAAAACTTTGCAGTGAACTATTTGAAAGACAAAGAATTAATGCAGTTGTCCTAGGCAACTGTTTTCTACACGTCATATACTTCGCTACAATCATCTCCGAAGACCCAAAACACTCTTCAAAAAACTGACTACCAAAGTTAAAAAAATAAGCAATTTTTCATGAGATATTCTACCCATAATTTTCAGGTGATATTCTACTCATCAACTGATCCCATCGAATTATCGCCTTAAACCCAACATACTACTTTATCAGTCCAGCTCAACAAACTATTAAAATGTCAAGTTTGCGAGCTTAAAGTTAAATTCTTCAAGTGCAAACTTGAATAGTACATTTTAATTGATCAGTTTTTTTAGTCTATTAATTTGTTTAAATAAAACAAATTTAGTGTTTCTAAAAAAGCTATTGAGTTATTTATTACATTTGCTAACACGAGAGACGGTACCACAAAAATGGCAGCATCAAAATGATTTTAATGCATGAAAATAATCTTAAGAAAATCATCTTACGCTAAACAATTTTGCTAATCAGCCTTTGCTAAACATCTCGTTTTGTTTGCTTAACATCAAATTCTATTCGTGCAATAAGAACATCCAGAAATTCTAAACTTGGAAAGAAAACAACTTAAAACAACATCTGTCATAATTTATGGTGAAGCAAAAACTGAAGGGACTAAAAGTCAGCTAAAAAGTTGAAATACTGCTAGAAGAAAAATAATTATTAAGGAGAACTAACACTGATAAGTGGGCGAGGCAGACAGCGATGGTGGTTGGTTGCCAAGGTAGGTTCTCACCGACGCCGACTGTGGTTGCTGCAACCACTCACAGTGATACAAAAATGAAAGAAGGCGTTGTTATTGATAACACATATTAACCAATTACACTACTACAATAAATCTTAAAACAATTAACTGAAACAATGATTCCTTAAATCATCGATAAAATAAGGAATGTTTCTTTTACTCCTTTCTACTGCTAATTTTTTTTTATTTAGTACAGTAAAAAATGATGATTTGGAAGCACTAAATTACATCTCATATGCTAAGAGATGTAATTTGTTGTTTTACGAATCTCAATTCTGACAATCAATTTATATTGTTGATCAAACTGCTACCATTCAGTCTTTGCTAACAGCAATTCTAGATGAACAACAATAAAAACTAAGCACAGCCACTTCACTATGTTTCATATTATCTTGTCTTCTTTTCTACAATCCCGCACCTCCATTATGCTTGTAATCAACTAAATTCTCTTTGAAAGGATCCGTTTTTTTTTTTTTTTTTTTTTGATGTGCGTCAGTTCAGTGTCGAACTAGGAGTTTAAATTTAAAAAATTCATACCCGGTGTTTACAAAACAAATAGGAATTAATAGTAAGCTAGTTTGTTTTTGATTAGTCAGTTTTTGAAATATTCTCCTTGCTATTTGTATTTAAATGTAGCTAAGTGCGGGAATTTATTATTATTGTGTATTTTTACTGGGGCATTTTTTAAATGTTTTTTGAATATAGTCACAATTATTTTGATAAAAAGACAAATTGGCAAAAAATATAAAGCAACCTGTTGACGGTAGACTGAAGATTGAATAGGATATTTTGGTTGTTGCTGCGCTTTAGACTGATAGCAAGACTGTGCTGGGTACTGAGCAGATTGTGATCCAGAAGACTGTTGAGAAGTGACTATCGACGGTGCTGGATACATGGTTCCTCGTGATGCTGGCGTAACTGGTGCTCCCGAAGCACCAGCTGGAAAAATATTGGAAGATGAAGGATGCTGATTATTTTGTGACTGCATTTGTGACATATTCGGTGGGTATCCTAAAATAAAGTAAGATATAAAATATTCTGCATAATCATAAAAGCGAAATATTTCAAAGGGTGGTACACGAAACGAAATAGAGGCGTGACATTATTCACACCAGTGTGTGCATGTAATAAGGAAGTCTTATGTGGAACTACACTTATCAAAGTAAATATTACCAGTAAAAATGGAAAAGCCAAAAAGTTCGAGTCAACAAATTTGGTGATTTGAATCGATAAAGGAAATGCATTAAAAATAAAACCTTTAAAAAAAATTCAGAGAAACAACCAATTCTTAGTACATGCATGCACCTATAAAGAATAAAAGAGAATGCCATCATGTTGCTAACTTCTAATACGATAAAATATAATGACTATTATAAATCATTAAAGGGTGATTCAAGTGATTCGTTTAAAAGCCATCTGCTTACCTTTTACTATAAATAATCAGCCAATAACACTTCTGTTAAAAGCAAAGATGTTTAGAAAAAAAGAAAAAGAGATAGGTGATTATAAAATGAAATACAATTTGTATTATTTACAAGTGATGTAGATTCCAACTAAGACTATCCAGCTCAGAGAAACAACGTCTATTCACAGTAGAGGCTGCATAAAAATAATGGCATAAGCAAAAACACAAATTTTGTGCAGTTGTTTTCCCACTTAAGTTTCAAGTTATAGTAATAAGTTAATCTTAAATTAACCAAGTATTTGATGTATGCATAAATGAAAAAAAGTGTTATGAGAGAAATTAATAGCAATTAACAAGAAGTGAAAGAACTACCCAACAAAAGGCAATAATAACTTCAGCAAGAAGTATTTAAACCCAGTTGGATAATGGATTTATCGAGTAAGAATTTAGTAATCAATTTGTACCAAACGTCATCTGTGTATGAATCATGTTCCTGCATGAATATGGTAAAAAAGGTAAGAGTCAATCCTACATAACGTGAAGTCACTTCAGAAATAAAACCTTCTACTTCTATCAAAGAACGATAAAAGAACACAAGAGAGAAAAAATAAAGGTGAAATCAATATACGACCTCTAACTTAAATTTGTTAAATAAAAATTATCCCCCTCAACAGTTATTGCCAAAATACGTAAGATACATTGGAAAATCTATTTTTATAAGAAGAAATATTTTTTTATAAGAGATGTTGACATCAGGCTTCAATTGATAACCGAATACTTGCGCAACCAAATAAGATTATCATTCATACTGAAAAACAAGTGGAAATATGACACAAATAAGCAGACCACAAAATAGATTTTAGAATATGAAAGAAACGAATCAAACATATGAAAGTTTTTAGAGCATTCCTTTAGCCACAACAAGTTTTTGGACCATTCTTTTACCCATTTCTTTTTTTTCTTTTCATTCATTTCAAAAAGAAACAGAAACTATCATAAACTGCTCTTTCTTACAGCACTAAATCATGTTCTCACACTCCTGATGTGAGAAAAAACATTAAAAATTAGGCTGTCGCAAATCGCTCCCCAAAATGAAAGCAACCATTTCTTCAACTTGAATAAAGTTCACACTGTACTTTTAGATGACTACACATCTGTATTGCACTTTTCCTATTTCTTCGGTACCAAAGTCGATGTAATATTTTGAAAAGTTAGATGAGATTTTAAAGAGAAGAAACGGAATATCATACTTATCGCATTTAAAATTTATTTAAACAAACTCCAAAAATTTAAAGTACCCGCAGCAGAGCGCAAAAGTCGATAAAAAAAAGATTTCTAAAACAATTACATATAAAGTATATATAAAGCTATATGGTGACTGCACTTTACCATACAAATGTCAACTATCAAGTAGTCAACTCACCATCAAAAAACTCTTGTACAAATTTACCAAGTTATTTCAGGGGTAATTTATAAATGTTAAGGTTGACAATCGCTCTGTTTGGAGAGCTTTACTTGTAGATTGCTTAGCACTGCTATTAAAAAAGTCAAATTTGCGTTCTTATAAATCAATCAAGAACTACAACAGACGATACTCCTGATTCTTGATGAAAAGAATTAGTTCTCAAACAGTGAAAGAAAGGAAGAATTATATCCACTGTTCTCAAACAGTGAAAGAAAGGAAGAATTATACACATGACCACAAACAGAGAAGATCAGTGTACAGTGGTATAATGGAATATTAGTGCAATTTTTTTAATCAAATTTTATGTCTTCATGTGCTCATTACAAGAATACATATTTCATCTTTCAAACTTATTTTTATTCACAATACGAACATATCTATTTGAAGAATAGGAGTAAAATTTCTTCATAAATTCTATTGACAGGTGATAAAGTGCAACACAAACTCTTGATGTACAGTTTCAATGTTGATGAATAAACTTTTCACTAGAAACATAAAAAAACTGAATATGTATTAGAAAACTCTCTGCTTTACATAATAACTAAGAAATGGTAGAGAATGCCATAAAGAAAAAGAACGGGATACATAAAGCAAGGAAGTGATAGAGAACCACACCTTCCAAAAATTTTTTCAATGAATTACTAACCTGAGTAAGGAACTCGTTGTACCATAATACGGTGCATTGCCCCAGAACCAAAATGCTACAAATAACAATGAAAATTATATAACGAATAGAATTTTAAGTCTGAGTCAAGAAAATAAAAATAAGGAAATCTTCACAAATTCTTCAAATACTCTAACAATTTAGATTACATGAATTTAGGTATTACCTGTTGAGCCTGTTGACCTGTCCACTGAGGCTGTTGCATTTGTGCATGGCATGAATATTGTTGTTGCTGTGGACCGACTGTTGGGATTCTTGAAAGATATGGAGCACAAGGAGATGAAGGTGGAACATGACTCGATGGTACCATACCTGTTTTTATACTTTTTTAGAATTCATAAAATTACTATCTTATTAAACGAGGTCTACAAAATGTTTAGTGCTGCATTGTTTAACCTTGTTTGAAATAGTGTATTAAAGGTGTATTATAATAGGTTCCACAATACTGAAAAGCTTTTTGTTTTATAACTGTGATGATTGATCACCGAATAAGTTCGGACCGAATTACATTAGTCCTTCCGTTAAATTTTCTTCTACATTTTTCATTTTTGCTTATTGTCTATTAACACAGATTCGAATTCTGTTAAATCATAATTTAAAAAAAGCACTTAACCTGCTGGACTTTGCAAGTTTGCTTGATAATGAACAGGAGTTTGTGAGGGTTGCATATACAGAGAAGGGGAAGCATTTGAGGACGGACGACTCATAAATGGCGCGGGCGATGGATGCATACCGTTTGGACTTCCCATTGGGCTACGCACTGCAATAGACCTATATTTTAACATTTGAGCATGTAACCAAACCGAAATTATAAATGCCACACAAATTGATTTTTGTGTAGTATTTATAATTTAACATAAACAAGTAAAGAAGGCTTCCAAAAAATGACCTGGTAAACACATTCCCACTGGCTGCTGTTGCACGGAGGTTCGTGTAGCACTCGGAGATAATAAAGCAGAATCTCGCATTGCACCTGAAGAAATTGAAGAAAAAACATATCGTTTACTTAATTTAAGCATTTAAGTGATAGTTTCTGTTTATACCGCAGTAAGCATATTTTTAACAAAGTGGTAAACACTGAATTTGCAAAGCACACAGTCAAAATTACCTAAAATTTTCTTCACTTTACCTGGTAATCTAGGTGGTTGCATAATTGGGGTTACTGGAGAATTTGAATTAGTAGGTGCTGAACGAATGTTTGACGATGGTGAGTGAGAGGGATCAGCAGGCGAAGGCGTCCAATACTGCAGTGTTTAAGGAATGATATAATAAAGTGAAAGGAGACAAAATGAAGATCGTATGTTGAATAAATTACAAGAGTTTGAGTTACAGCAAATTAACATCAAAGTATAGCCTCCCATAATCTTTAATTGGCGTGAATAGAATCTAACTTCATTCATCAAATAAGACATACAGGTTGCTTATAGGGAGATTCGATCTGTGTCTGGCATGCTGCTTGCTTATCGATCACCATGTCCCTCAATCTGAAAATACTGATTGTTCTCGACTGCAGTAGATTTTATCATTACAGAACTGATTGCGAAAATGTAAAATAGTATGAAAGAAATAAAGAACATTGAACATCCAAATTTCTTTCACAATCAAATCGACTACCGAAAAGAGAGTTAGTAAATGACGACTCAAGACGTCTATCTACCGCGATATAAACAAAAACAATGCAACTTAACCAAGAAAGCAAAATTAAAGAAATAAAAGTTTTGGATGCAAACCTATGAGGGTCAAGATGTCCCAACGGACTTGGAGCTTCGTTTACAAATGATGAACTGTTGCTACCCGAGCCTGGTGTTGTTACGTTACGCATTTCAATCACCTGTATTTGAATAATATCAATAGGATGCTTTTTGCAATTGTAATGGCTTTATTCTTACATGTTACAGTCGCCTCATCAAGGCGAGCAACTCTGTAGATCAATCATTTAGAAATATTTCGAACTACACATCAAAAGTCAACATGTGAAGGAAAATACATTTTCTGATTCTCGTGAAGTATTTGCAACATCACTGTCGGAAGTGCATGTTGAGCCTTCCATTATTTAATCTGAAATATATTTTTATAGTGCAATAGCTTTAGTTTTATCCACAGCTAATATGACACATATTCACTAGTGCTTTATACAAGTTTGACTGTGAACCAAGTTTCTTACATATTTCCAACTTGTAAATACACTTTCTCCCCTGACAACCATATTTAGAAAAATACGCATAAAAACGGAATGATCAAAGAGAAGCTTGCATGGTTCATTTCGCTCATAGAATTTAGGAGATGATCTAGAAAGCATGGAAAAGTACCACCCACAAACTTTTCTATGCACTTCAGAATTTAAGGTATCAAATAATTATCATAAAAAACTACCCATGAATGATACTTACGTTAACTGTTCATTTCCTTGTTTAATTACCATGTACGACACTACTAGTAATGGTAAGCAAGCTAGCAAAATACGCATAAAGGTCTCATTTTCTTGTAAAATAGTGCTTTGTACAGAAACTCCCAATGAGTATCTGAAGATATGAAAATAATTCTACTACCTTCATTAATAAATAAAATACAGTGAAGGTTACTTCGATCTTCAGTGATATCATTTTACTTCCAAGAACCTACGGGACTAATGTTTCGAGTAGGTTAGTCATTTTAAACATTGCAAAATCTTGAGTGAAAGAATTCTGGGACTCCTGCTAAATCGCAGAAGGACAAACATTAACTTCGTAGTATACATCTCGAGAGTTACACCTCACCCAGATCGTTTCCTTGCGATCAATCATTTTCACTGCATACCAATCGATGAGCCTTGAAGTTGCACAATCTACAATCGTGGCAGAATGCTTTTAAATTATTGCAGCCTTTGGGATTTAGCTAGCATCGAAGGAACGGTATGTGTGAGAGCAGTTTGCCCGTTGAACACTCAGGCAAGCCACTGGGCAGGTGGAGACAGTGTGAAGTGTATTGCAAGGGTGCTGCAATTCTTTCTAGAATTTGTTGGGTGGTTTACTGGCTGATACATCAAAAAGGTGACGACATTGTTGAATACTACTAGGTTTCTCTTAGAATCCACAGATTTTATGATAAGCCCGTTTCTGAGGTTACTTTTGATTCACTATGTCTTATACTTACTGCACTATCACAAGAGGCATAGTGTATTAGTGGAGGGATGACCTACTGCTCTTGGAATTAATATGAAGTTCATGAAAGTGGATTTGGAATGTCAAATTAGAGAATTTCGGATTTAACTGCGTGAAGTGCCTTTGCAATAGTATTTCAGAAATTGAGAGCCTCTACAAAGAATATTGTCGAAAGTGCTGTGAGCCTATGTATTCTGTCATTGTATTATTAGATTCAAAATTTCATTACAGTTGTGTCTTGGAAATACACCTTTCCAATCCAATAATATTTATCTGACTTGTATGCATTAGTTCAGATATATCATTAAAATTTCAGAATTGCAAAGCAAAAAGCAAAAACCTTTTAAATCAGGGTAATTCCAACTTTCCAACTTATGCAGCCTTTGGTAAATATTTGCATATTTATCAAATGGTATTATCACTAAAAAAAAAAAAAAAAAACTGATAGTCACAAAATTTTTATTTGTGCAGGTGCTGCTTCAGAAAATACCATTAGTTCTGGAGTATTCTTTAAACCTTGATATGTTTGATATATGTCTGAAACAAGTTCTGTAAATTTGATATACATATGAAGGAAGTTTTATGAACAATCATATGACAAACTAACTTGCTTCTTAGATCTGTTATTCATACCCTATAGGATCTTTCCTCAATGGTGAACTCTTTTTTAGGATTATTCATGCCATGTAATGACTTGCTCAATGTTATTTGTTAAGGATCATGCAAGGTTGAAAATTTTCACATTCTAGAAGAGGTCTGTTCCCATTTCTGAAGTTAATATTTTAGGGAAAGGGAGGTTTGAGCTTGAATGTCTTTCAAAATGATAGTTTATTACAGATTTATCACTTTAGTTTTTCGTTCCGAGTTTTATTATTACTTTTGTCTATACCTCATTTTCACTAAAGAGGATCAAAATTGTACTGTCGTTGGTACTAAGCATCTTTTGTTGTTTAGGCAGTTCCATACTATGCCTATTATGGCTTTACTGTCTTCTCAAAAGATTTCACAACTTGACAAGCAGCACTAAGCGTTGTTCTCTCAAAAGTCTGTTAATACATTCATACATATCTTCTCTATTCTTTTCTTTACGGCACTATTACAAACTGTAACGCACTATCCTGTCATCCACTATTTCCTCATTGTGATGGTATTGTGATGGAATCGTCCGCGACTGATGATTTCTGCATGCAGTGAGCTGCGGAAAACGGTTCAGTTCGTGGGTACATATTCTGCCTTCTGTGGTGAGGTTAGTTATCTTCTTTTTGGTGCGTAAATTTATACGAACGCCAAAGGCTGCAAAATCTAAACTCTTAGAATTTAGATTCTGCAAATTGCATTTTTCTCATCTCTTTCGACTTATATTTTTGAAAGGAAACTGTGGATTTAAGGTTATGTTCAGTAGAAAAGAGATGATCTAATGCACTTCTACACGAAAAAAAAGAAGAGAAAAAGAAACAAAGATTCGCCAATTGTTTGATTTTGATTTTCCGTAGAGTTTTTGCATACCTTTTTCTAGTTCCTTCATGTTTTCCAGTGAAAGAAGCAATTCATCTCTGATATTAATAATGTCATGAAGAACTGATTTTCGTGTAAGATATTTCTAAATTTCAAGCTCTTTTATTTCTCTTCCTTTTTAGAATAGCCACGAGATTGAATCAATCTTTCAGAAAGAGCTTTAAATTATGAAATGCAGACTTAGTGTTTTATAACATAGTTTTGAAACGTAGTCTTCTATCTCATAATTTCCTCAAACTGACCTTTCTTCATATAACACAAAATTGAAACTCTGAATATATATAATAATAATTACTGGCTACTCTTCTACTGTCATGGTAGCGTAAATTGTTACAAATACCCTCACTAATGTCATATGTTGCTTCTTTTGAAAATTTTTGTCAATTCTTCTGCTTTTTATGCTTATGAATTTTGCGAAAAAGTTAGTATGGTTGGTGGTTTTGCTGGATGATACATACTGTACAGTGCTGGTTTGACTCACTATTTCAAGATATATAATTTATTAGCGGTCTTATTATATCCTGCATGTCAAAAGATACTGAATAAGGCACTGATCTAGCTGACTTAAATTTAAATGTTTTTTTATACATTGTTGATCTAATATTTGCGAATCTGATATTCATTGTGCCATTGTTACTGTATTTTAATTTCTCTAATAAATGAATAGACGTAGCTCATAATTTTAATATGGAAAGCCAATGTCGCAATCATTAAGATAAAATTGTTTGCCATGTTTAATATTCCTTCATTTTAATGTTTTTCAGAAGTGCTACGAATTCTTAAGACTGCTGAGTTGCTGATTATGGCTTTCACATTTGCTGCATTTTGTTATCTTTTTGCTCTGTTTGCCGTAGCATTTTGCATTTTCTTCGCCATATTCACAGTAAGTTCAACCATTTTGGTTTCGGGAATAGTAGAATTCATTTCATATAAAGGACGCAAAAATTCCGTATATGAATACTTCGCCTGTTTTTCCTCTTTTTGAATTATTTAGGAATAATCTTTCAAATGTATAACTTTTGTAGAGACTACGTATTTTTAGACAGCCATAAATAAAGACAATGTACGTAATCTTTCAAATATATAACTATTATTTTGACATCAAGATTGTTTTTTAGCTCTGCAAAGTTTTTTAACGCAGGCTTGTAAAGAACTTAAATTTTGATTACGTATATTCTTTTTTTAACTTTTTTCTCCTTGATTTGAAAAGAAAAAATATACAACTCGCATCTCATGTTATTTATGACTGTTTAGAAACATACACTACCATGGTATCAAGATGGACACAACACTACAAGCAATAGTGGAATATTTTTTCGTTGCAAACATTGCATTTTATTCTTATTTCAGGTTATTTGCATCGATGAACTAAAGACAGAGTATAAAAATCCAATAGAACAGTGCAATAGTTTGAACCAGGTCTGCTTTGTTTTTTCTAATAATTAAAGAGCTATTCCTAGTACTAATTGGGAAACTGAATTAAGTTCAACTAGTATTTTTGATGAGTTCTTGCAATCTTTAAAGGTAAATTTGTTAAAAGTTATCATTCAAATTGTTAGACTTTAAAAAATTTTTATGCTACCTATAGTTTTATACCTCTTCATGCAGAGCATTATTTTATTTTTGTTTTTCTGAAGTGCACGTACTGCAATTTCTGATTTTTTTAGTTGGTTTTACCAGAATATTTACTTCATATCATCCTTACTTTTCTTTTCGTCTTGTCGTTTCAACTTGGAGGACTTTGCTGGAATATACCACTTATTGCATATCATATTCATAGGTAATATTATTTATTTATTGTTTTCACTTGTATTTATAGATTATTAAGAAGGCAAAAGAATAGTAATCCTTTTGTTGTATTTTTCCAGATATATTCAGCGTCCTGTGATGACTGGACCAGGAATATATGACCCGACCACGATTCTAAACAAAAATGAACTTCAAAAAGCACTAAAAGAAGGCTGGATAAAGCTTGGATTCTATCTGATATCTTTTTTTTATTATTTGTATGCCATGATATACACGATGGTTACTTCCTCTTGAAGAACATGTCTATAAAAATAGCACTTGTTCTAGATTAGATGTATAAAAGTAACAATTACAAACGTACTATATATCTTTTTTTAATAACTTTTTTTTTAAATTTTGAAAACTATGAAATATTTGTATATATATATATATATGCGTGTGTGTGTGTTGTATTTTCCGCTTGCGTACTTTTGTGAGTTTGAATGTAAGTCTGGATTAATTAGAAAAGCGCATAAAAAAGAGTTGCTATGAAATCTGAAAGCTGCACCACTCGTCATTGTTTTTCCCGTGACATTTTTGTTCATGAAACATTTCTTTCATATTTAAGTGATTGTTAAAGTCTTTTATGCGATCTCTTCGCTTCTTTTGGTATGGTTTTCTGATGTCATTGTTCATTTGTATAGCTTAAGCAAATTGCTAAATGTTAATTTTGAATGTAGAAACATTAATTGTGCATCTTCATATTACGAATATTATAAAGATCGACATTAAATTACATATCATCTATTTTGAGAATTGAAAATGGCAGGGTTACTGCGTTATAATTCTGAAATCCCTAGCATCTTACAGAGTTCAGTTTAGAAATTAATTCAGTTTCGCATTTAACACAAACTATTTTACATTTAATATCCTAACTGGAGCTGTAAAAGAAGAAATTGAAGAGATTGAAATTAATTGATGCTAGGTGATTTTCTCAATCAAATGAGTAGTCGTTTCATCGATACTTTTGAAGTGTTGTGGTGCAACTTTTATCAGTCGCAAAGGCAAGTTTTGGGAGAAATTTTTTCATCAGTTTAAGCTTTACGCAGAAACAGAATAGTTTGATTGGGGGGTGACAGCAGCGATATGGCAATGATAATGTCATTGGTGATGGAATGTTCACTGAGGGGCACGGTACTTGCCACTGTGATTCAAAAATGACAGCGATGATGGAAACCTGTTAACAACGATGAAATTTCACTCCACTCCAATGTACAGTTGCATCACATTCCTGGTCTTCTCTAGACGTGTTAACAACATCTACTTCACATCTGTTTCGCTCAGATTTGTTTTACCTTTCCTCATATAACATAAAATGAAACTCTGAATTTTTTAAATTTCAACACTAATGATTAGTGCAGCATTCTTATCACAGCCCAGCAATTAGAAATAAAAATTTTCCTCATTCACTCAAAATTTGGTTTAACTCAGTTTGCTTCAATGATTCGTACTAGCATGTTGTAGTAACTGAAGAAAAAGTGATATGGGGATTATGTCACCGATTTTACCTGATTAAAAAAGGTGTCATGCACATATACCTTGATTATGACTCATATTAATTGATACTATTTATGTTATTATTAGTTGGACCTACATCATTTTTGACTTCTGATTGGGTATCACAGCAGTAACTCACATAACAATAACAATTATTAGTAGACACTGTAAAACTGATAATTCTTATGATTACCTGCAATGAAATTCATGAAGTCTTCGCAGATTGCACCGATCTATATTATGCATACGACCCTTTCTCCTTTCGACCTTTTGACCGATCACTTGAGGAGTACAAGCATTGAGAGTTCTAAATTATCCGATGATATCTAATAATCAGTTCATGTAACCTCCATTAGTGTTGGAGTTAATTATTTTTTAGATTAATATCTAAAAGTGAAATGAGGGGTGCTCTTGTCAATATCGTTTTATTTGTACAGAAGTTTAAAAGTATGGAAGAAATAAAAGATTAATGTGATAGTCGCTGCAAGCGAATTGGTTAGTTAAATTTAAAAGCTTTTTCAAAATAAAAGGGAAATTTGCTCTCATTAAATTGATTTCATTTCAGAGAAATAAAAGTGGATGTGATTGATAGCTTATTCCAGGATTATTTCAAAATATTTTCTTGAACAGTATGCGCTGTTTGCAATTTGCAACTGGCAATACCTCCTATATGGCATTGAGAGTATAAGTAAAGAGTACAGCTCTTGTCGGTAACATAATCAATGATACCTGTAAAAAGTGCTTCTCACGTCATTTATGTCTCCTCATTACCATTGGTGCTTCACGTTTTATCTGCTCTTGATTGATTTCTTTTACTTAACGCTAATCAGCGTCACGTATGCAACAATATTCTCTGATTCACTGGATCTATGTAAAACTCAGTGTATTGATCGAAATTTGGTTAGGATTTTACATTTTCTTCTCATAGGACATCATAATAACGGGAAAAACTTGTCTCAAATCTGACGTACGTGTTATGAGCATTGTACAATTTACAGGTAGTTGCGCTCGCTCGTGGAGCAATTGATTGGGATACTTCGCTACTTGAAATTAGTCTAACTCAACGAATTAATGCAGTAAGATCTGTTTCAATGGTTATAAGACAGTTAATTAATAATATTCCGTCGTATCACGAGTATTATGTCTTAGAAGATCATAAGTTATAACAAGAAAAACGTATCACAAGAATTTTACGTGCACGTTATGAGACTTAACATTGTTCATCTGTTGTTATGTGAAGTATTATTCAATTCCATTCTATTCAGTTTAAATGAATTCAAACTCATATTTTGTTGACTTCTTTTCTTAGTTGAATGAAACAAAATTTTGCAGAGAAAATGAACTCCAGGTAAAATTACAGATATTAACAACAGATAACAACATAACATACGTGAATTGAATTGTTATAGTGCCACAATGGTTGTCAAGATTTGGAATCAACAAATTCGACTTGCTTAGAGCGTTGTGATAAATTAATGCCAACAGATAGTTGCATGCAGGGCTGCCGTGCTGTTACCGATATTTTCCTTTATCATTTGCAAGGTCAGTGAGGTCAGTTTTCGCTTGATAACCATATTTCAAGTTCATTGGGGTTAATTGAGGTTAGTTACAAAAACATAACACCCTTAAAATTATAAATGCGAAGAATGTTATTAATTGAAGACTTACTGGGTCATGTGCAAGTTGAAATCGAAGATTCACCAGTTGGTGTAAATACAATTTGGAGTTTGGATAGTGATTATGGTTCAGTCATCAGTGACATATTGGTAGATGATGTAAAATGGGGTGTTCAGAGTCGTCCGGCTAATGCTTCCGTCTCATGGGATACTACCACTTTTGAAAAGGTATTAAATTTAATAAACAATATGCGCTTTCTCATAGGGTATAGTTCATCACCTTTTTCATACCAAATTCAGGAAAACTGAAGAAACACTAGTACATAATGTACACTTCATATAATTAAACGTATCTACATACTGGTTATCGGAATTAAATTTTGTCTTATTTCTATTTCTGTATCTTTAAATTTCGAAAATATTTTCCTTCAGGCATTTAAAATGGAAACCTTGGAAGCAAGTATAACTATACCTTCGGTTTTTGCTGAACAAATAGAGGTCATTATTTGTCAGTATCACTAATTATCAGTTACAGTTAATTGCTTCTTGTTATCTCTACTTAACCGTTATTATAATTAGACATGCTGTTCATTTGTTTAATGAATTACTCTGCAGCTTCGATTGTGCATATCTTGGCGGAACTATATCATCGTCTCTCCTACACATCGTCTTCAGATCAATGACACTGATAATGCTAAGTTGTTGCCTCCAACGATTATTTCTCACTTACAGACGTCAGCAAACAGTTTTGTAGTTTGTTGGAAAAGCGCGTTGAAGCGTTTGTACAAAGTATGCTTTTTTTATCTAAAAATGGATTTGACATACTAAGACTTTTTGATATGAAAAAGTTTTTTTAAATATTGGATACTTTGTCTTACAGATCTCATTGTACTCACTTGATGAAAAGGAAATCTCAACAACGCTGGTGGAAAATACTTGCTATTTGTTCCAGGGAGTACCCACTGATAATTGTTGTCGTGTTGAAATTGGTTATGCAAATAATGATACTGCTTCTATATCCTTACGAATTGATCTTATCAATACTGGTAACCAAAAGAACTATTAGAATTGAATTTAAGAGTCACGCAAGAACTGAGTGAAATTAACAACAAATTAGCATTGAAATTAACACCGAAAATTAGCAAAATTAATGGAAATTAATTATAATTAATTTATGACACACTATTATAGAAAGAAAGCCAGAATCGACAGCGCAATTAATTTTTACGAATGGTACATCAGTGATGAAACTCTACGATATTGATGATTACGCTGTCCTTAGCGACCCAAAATTAATTCCATTCGAGTTAAAGCCCGGCAGATCAATTACTGGTAACTGATTTATAAGTTCACATCATAAATTATGTTGAAAGGTAATGCTAAATAACTTTCACTTGCAATGCAGATGTAGTCATTCTCTTGCAGATGAAAAAGAGCTGTACACAATGCTTGATTTGAATATTATTACAAAGATTATCGCAGTGATAAGATTTGACCACTCGAATCTGATGTCGTAAAATACTGCACTGAACTTTTTTTCAATTCTTCAGCTTTGCAGCAATTCGATGAAGAATAAAATCAAGGAGAAAGTATATGTACTTTAAGAAATGAATTTACAGTGCATATTTTTATAGCACTGTGCACCGTATCAGCTGAACGATTATTAATTGCATTAGATGACGGTAGTATCTACTGGTTAACTATCGGTGATGAGGTATTAAGCGGAATATTGCGGTCACCGGACGGCACAGCAATTGTTCATATGGATGTTGATCACATGCAAGATGCTGTATATGCCGTTCTTTTTAAAAAAGGAATACTCAGGTAATTTGTCCTTTAATCAGCTGTTTTAGAGTAAAACTATACTAAAGCTAATCCAGATATAAATAATGGAAAAATGAAACTTCGATTTGATGACTTTTATTTGACAAAAATATTCTAAAAGTTTATCACCAATATTCGCAAACAAGTTTTGAAATCTCAAAATTGAGTTAGGAAGGATGTTTTAAATTCTTGAATTTAACATTTGTCATAATCAGATGTGGCTTAATAGACTGCCTAAATTCGACAATTTTAACAACGAACACAATTAATTATATCGAATATATCTCGATTGATTCATGGAATGGGTGAGCTTTTTTTACTAAATAATGAAAATGTATTATAAGTTATCTAATTGGACAGGCATGATTGCAATAATTAAAATTATTTTACTTAAAAGGATCAAAGAAAGACTATCATCACAGGCATATATATTGTATACTAAATGGTGGCGAAGTGTTCTCGATACCACTATTTCCACTGGATGCCCCGCATATTCTCCCATTTTCTGCAACAGAAAAAATGCCCACTATTGCATTTGCTATTGAAGCAGAGCCAGAAAATTCAAGGCTAATTTCTCTCACACAAACTGGTTCCATACTGGCAATAAATATCGTAAATCAATCAGTTACTGATCTTCGGCTGAATAGTGAAGTGAGCGATATGTACAACAACATCAAAAAAGCACATCTTTTTGGGGAACGACTGTTTTGGACATCAACAAGCTGTGGCGACACACATTCCTGGGATAGTTGCTTGTACGGCGAAGAATACGATGTCAAAAAAAAGGTTAACATTTTTTTAATTATGACATCTATTGAGTTACAAAAGCAGAAATCATTATTTTTCTATTTCAAAGAAAAAATTTTTACTCGCTGAAATCGAATCTTTTAAATTTAGAAAATGCATTTGAATCGTTATTTGTACTCCGGTCGAGTTGTTGATTTTATATTCCTTCGTGACAGTCCGATGCCAATAACAATAACCTCGCCAAGCAAAATAGGCCTTATAACAACCGATAGTACTGCACGAGTCATATGGGAATCTCCAACATTGTTACCATTTCAAGGTAATTTTTTCAAACTTGGCAATCTATTATTTGTAGTACAAAGTAATCCTTTAAATTTTATGAAAAGTATTCAAAAACTCATCTTTTACAATGATGAGTCTGTCTATTCTCGGAAGTAGCAGCGAAAACTTATTTCACCGAAATACTCAATGCATCATTTTCAAAAGTCAAATTTTAGCACAAGGTGCGTGGCGTAAATTGCTTTATGAATGTCGCATAATTGGTGACGAAGAGGATGGCAGTATAACGGCAGAATTTACACAGCTTTCTGAAACTAATTTGTTAATACCGGTTTCTCCCGGACTTCAGTATCATGTATCTGTTCGAGCCTGCATCAATACGATATGTTCCGCTTACGCCAATGCTATCAATTATGCATTTGCCCCACTCACTGGTATATTCTATTTTATCCAGAATTCTTTAAGGAGCTCAGCAAAGACGATTAATTTCTGAAGATGTTCATTGATTATTCCTCATAAGGATAGCAATGTTTTTATTTCTTCTGTAGCGAAGTTGGTTTATTGCACTTTTCAGAACCTTTACTTGTCGCATTCCGTCGGACGATCAATAATAATGTCAGTTATTATGATATTCTCGGTGATCCAATCGAAAATTACACACTGCGTAAGTTTGTTTTCCAGCAACAAATAAAGTAAGTGATAAAAAAAACACATTAGTTGAAATAAGGTAAATGCATGAGTGAACGTGTTGGTATTATTGAACAGAATGCTCCTTCGGCTAAACCTGAAATTGACTAGAATAAAGTTTTAGTAAAGACTTATTGTTTTATTTCAGCTGGTCCGGTACCGGTAGATAAAACAGCAGTGTTTGCTTACGATATTTTGGTGAAATCATTGTATGTTGCTAATACGGGCAAGGTTATAGATTTAATTTGATTTTTTCTACTAACTGATATTGAGCTATTTTCGAGTGTGTTTGATAGATTAAAGCGAATTACAGAATAGAATAACTCGAATACGCGGTGATGGTTCCCAACAACATTTCATGGATTCAATAACCGTAAAGTTCATGACAGTGATGTCGCGTAATGCACTGATCGTCGTTGCATCTGATTATTTAATAGTATCATATCGTTTAACATCCACATTCGACCAAGAGTGAGTATTTTAATCATTCCAGAAAATATCAGCAATCCTCTTCAGTTGCAATGAATTATCTATGTTAAACTGACGTTTACTGATCTGCTGATCTCATGATCTCATGATATACAGAGGTCGAGAAACACGTGCATTATATTATAATAGCTGTTTCAGAAAAAAAAGAAAACGTTATTTAATGACTTATTTATCCTTAAAACAATGTAATTCACAGCTTTTTTTTGTATAATGATAGGACTGTTTTTATTTTTTATTTTTTTTTATTTATGAAAGTATTTTCAGGATTTATTCTTGCGGATCTTTTAGCGGATGTGGTGAGGTAGGTGGTTTAGCTGGTGATGATGAAACGGGTGATATCTTCTATCTGATTCGTTTTTCAAACGGGACAACAAGTTTGTATGGTCTTAATCAAGATGTTCGCACATCATATTTTATCGCTTCCTCGCAAGATTTTCCTGCGTTAGTTATTGTTATTTAATTTTGACCCATGAAATAAAATACCTTTCTCAATGCTAATGTAAACGATGGCTGTAAAAACTCCTGCGAAATATGAGCAGTACATTTCAAAGGGATAAAACACTGCATGTGTTATCTGGATAATGTTACCAGCTACGAAAGGAACGCAATAACGGGTAGTTTTGATAATTTGAAGAAATTGAATTTTTATTTTTTAAATTATGATCATATTTACGAAACAAAATGAATAGGTACTCGTTTCAGATTGCGGCAATTAATTGTTGTGAAAGAGAAACTAGTATTTATCACTGAAACAGGAGAAGTAGGTGTCTGTGATAAGAAACTCGGTTCACTGAACATTCATTTGGCTCTCAAGAATGTGGCGCTTATACCGATATTTTATTTGGATTCTATAAAACCAATCAATTTCATAGGAGCCTTAACGACGGATGATAATACTGCTAGAAATACGCTCACGTGGGATATTGAACCGATGTTCTTAACTGGAAAGATTATTTTTAAAGTTTGCTGCCTTTTTTTATTCCTTCTTACTTCTAAAATATAATAATTCTAAGAATTCTGCAGCAAAATGTTAGTAATTTTTTAAAAATATAACAAAAATAATAGATTGGTAACACCTGAGAATTATGCATATTATCTAAAAGGTCAATGATGGTTCATGCAATAAGAGGTCATTTCTAGATTGATATAAATAACTTTTCGATTTAACTTCTACATCTTGTTCGATTCATTGTTGTAAAAGTTTGATGTTTCAGGTTACAATATACAAAGAACACTGGGGTCGAGAACGTTTTGTGGATTATTCATTGTCACATAGTTATACCATAAGTGATAAACTTCTTTGTCAATGGCCTTCGAAACAGAAGTATGATGCTGAAGTAGAAGCGCTAACTGCCTGGGATTTGATATCAATAAATCAAAGTGGCCTGATTGCACCAACCAAACCACCATCTCCTCCAACAAATCTAACCATCTATGCTACACAACAAGTCAGTTTTTCTTCTCATTGTAAATGTATTCATTTTGCATTCATTTCATGGTTTTCAGTCCTATATATATAATGAAATTGAATCACTTACATCTTGATTTTTTCTATATTAACTTTTTTCTAGTTGTCTAATTATTCGGGACAATTAGTTCTTTTCATCCTTTTTGTAAGTTAATAACTTGAAAAAATCTTGAAAAAATTTCACTTCTACAAGCTAATGAAATTCAGTGATATTTGTCAATAAGTTACAGAAAACTGTAGATGGTGCCCGGGCATTAATGGACTTGTTTTGGGAGGAACCAACAGAATGGAATGGGGAAGCACTGGGTTATTTGGTCAATTGCACAGTGGACGGTGTCAGTGAATCGGTCGCAGAAGTACCTGCCACAATACGTTTCTATTCTTTTAGTGTGAAATCGGGAAGTGTCAGTTGTGCTGTCGCAGCTCATAATGAACCAAAACTTGAAACATTTTCGGAAACTGTTACCATTGATAGCAGTGGTTAGTATATCTTCTGATGTAAAGAAGTTTGCGAAAACAAAGAAAAATGAAAACCTCATTCCATTTATTGTTGCTTGCTTCTTTATATGCTTTGCATGATTTCTTTCGTTTAATGAATGGCATCTTATATGTCCTCTATCTAACTATACCTACCGCAGTACTTTTGCTTTAACTTTAACAGATATATATATTTTTAGAATTACGACCATTGGTCCGTTTATTTGCGATCGATTCTAATAACAATGTATTCGCTATCACAAACTGGTCGCCCTCTTCGTTTCAGCAGTCAACTCGTGCCAAAAGACAGACCTCATCACTACTAGCAGTAAAGATTTTGAACAATAGATAAAACTGAAAAATAGTTTTAGATTCCAAATATATTTGTTTTCAGATCATGGAGCAGTCAATAGCATATATTGGCAACGACTTATATTCGATAAGAAAAGATTTCGGCTCCACTCAACCCTCTCTACTACGTCTTGATCCTAATAATGTGGAAAATATTCTACATAAGGTAAATTTAAAATGCACTGAGAAATGAAGATGAATTTATGGGCAATTTCAGGTTTCAATAGGCGGCGAAATTGGTAAAGTGGACGCAATGACATCTGACTGGGTAGCTAATCGTTTGTTGTTCGTTTCAACAGCACGTGTCATGCAATTACCTCTTGATGCCATTCAAGTATCTTAATTTACTTATACTCTTATTACAATTTGCACTTGCTCATATCGATGGTTGTATGAAGAATTGTTCATTGATTCAGTGACACTCTTACCACAATATGTTAAGATATGATGTTATTTGACTGTGCGAACATAATACATTAGGAATCCAATTTCAGAGTCTTTCGATGATTACACCACGTCGCATAATGAATCTTTCATCAGGTGCTGGTGATGCGAAACAGCTGCTTTTCGACCCATTCTCCAAGTTTACTTTGTCCTCTAATTTTTTTGGTGATGTTTCTTCTTTTTGTTGGAATATTTTTCACTAATTTCTCAACCTCGCAAATTTTTTTTTAAAACAATTTCAGTACCGCTTTTTTGCTTACGAAAAATGGTTCACTTTTTGCATTGGATCTCAATATGGGTGTGGAAGAAAACATGGCCCTTAGGTTTACTTTTTTTTTTTTCAGTAGAGATGTAAGCTACGATTGTTCTTCCTTTTATTTAATAAAGTATAAGAAATAGAATTTGAAGTATTACTTATTAGGTTAGAATGTTTGAAATCAGAAACTGTATCTTGGATGATGGCTGATTTTGCTTGGAATCTTGCTTCATTACCAGCCATTTATGTACTTACTTGGAACGGTATGGTTCGCGTTGATTTAACATCCTCGAAGTGCGAAGAAATAAAATTTGCATGGGAAAAATTCGGAGGTATGTCTTCCGTTATTTTTATCATTTTTTGTGAAAATACTAAGACAACTAAATAGTTAAGCTTTTTAGAAAAAGGACTCAAATCAATACTATCCTTTGCAATCGCTGATAAATTGTATATTTTTGTCACTTCCTCCGCTCTAGTTGTTTATGAATTGGGCTCTTCAACAGCAACACCAATCGCCGTCAATGGTTCGCCACTGAAACAAATCCTGGTTGCTACACAATCTACTCAACCATTTCCGGGTATTTTTGGAATTCAAATTATCTAATGGGTAACGCAATTAGGCTAGGTTCCAAAATTCGAAGAAAACCAAAAATGTTTTCAATTTTTAATTTTAAATCTGTTTCTCATCAAAGCGATTTTTGCATTTATAATATGATCATAGAGCTAACCATGCACTAAGAACTGTATTTTGGGAAGATTTGCATACGTGGTTGGTGTTTAATATATGTTGTTCTCAAAAGAATCTAAATGACGTGAAGGACTGTTCGTTTTTAACAAAAATTATTTAAACTATATCGATTCCAGAACGGTCGTGTTTTGTCTTGCCCCCAGCATCTGAAATTAAGTTCACTGTGCAAAACGAAGAACGAAGTGGAGCATTAATCTCGGTTAACGAACCTCAGCTACCCAATGTTTGTCCCGTATGTTTTGGTTTAATTCTTAACAGTTATTTTATTTCTTATGAATACCATGGCTTATTGCATTGATTTACCACAGGGTATCACACTTCCTCTGACGCAGTACGAAATTCATTTCCAACGAAGAGGGTCTGATAAAATTCGCAACATTCACAGTATTAGCAATGTCCTTCATGTCGAAAATGGTGTTCTGGATAAAGAAGCTGAGTAAGGCGTTTGAAATCGAAAGTTAGGAAAGCACTTCTCTGCTAGGTCTAAAAGTTAAAAAAAATTTTGATCAGATATTTGATTAGATATTCGTAATAATATTTGATTTGATGTTCGAGATAATTCCGATGGGGAAGTATTTCAGCTTATGTTGGACGGAATACTTATGTTCTTTTGAGTAATTTGGAAACTGATAGATAGCTTTTGTGAAATGTTTTGCTTTTTGCCTTAGACGAACGATTATTTCTTGTTTCTACTATTGTAGCTATGATATATCAGTTTCATGGTTCAATCGATATACACCGGTATCAGAAGCTAGTGCAACACAAATGCTTCGTACCGGTTACGGTTTCCCTTCATCACCTCTGGATCCATTAGCTTTTGCTCTGACTCCAGATATTGTACTACTTTACTGGAAATTACCTGCTAGACCGAATGCACCAATTCCTGAAATTAAATATATGGTTTGCTTCTGTTTTTTTCTCCTTTAAGAAACTTGGATGATAGCGATGATTGTGCTGCCATTTATCACTTACTAATATTTGCATTGTGTCTTTAGAAATGTTTTCTTGACATTTCTGATCTATCTCTTTTCCTGACATTTTTGAAGGCTAAATATAAGTTTATTATTAGTAGTAGTAGATTCCTAGGGATCATTAATTAAATGGACAGTCTTGAGATGGATTTGTCAAATATGTTCCAGATAAGTCAGCTTAGTGCGACACAGATTTCTCCCTCAGCAATCGGTGCGCAGCAGTTTGAAGGAGCAAATTACGCTATTATGCCAACTGATGTCGTTTCCTGTCTGAGTAATCCTTGTTCTGCAAAAATTTCCAATCTGCGCCCTTCTACCGAATATAAATTTTGGGTAATTTTGATTGAAGAAAAATGCTGGTATAAAGTAACATTTAAATATATATGATTGTTTTCCGCTTTTCCAAAATGCTATTCATGTTTATCCGCAGTGGAATAATTGAATAACGGAATAAACTCTTTAGTTTTCAATTATTTGATTTCATTGCTTGCGGCTTCACTGATGTTTTCTGTTTATCAATAAAAAAAAAAAAAAATGTTAATTTTTGTTGAATTAAACCCTGCAAAATTGGAAAAGAAGACCAAAACTTTAAATTCAGGTGCGTGCAATCCATGAAAGTCATCTAAATATGCAATTTGTGGATGATGCAGAAGGAAGTTCCGTAGAAGCATCAGTTCGTACGAAAGATATAGCTGGAACATTGCGTCTTGACAATATTACTGGAACTGCTGTTGTACTTCGGTGGAATTCGCTCGACCCTGAATGCTATCCAAAGCGTATATATATCCAGTATCGAATTGTATGTTATTTTGATTCGTCTTCTGGAATTTTGCTGTGAAGAATGTTATGAACAATTTATGTGACATTTTGCATTTTTATCATGCTGACGAATTTTCAAAGGATGCATCTGACAAGAAAAAATCCAAATCAATAAAAAAAAAAACCAGAACAATCAGTGAAAAAAACTAATCTTTCTCAGATATTTATTGCTTTATTGATTTCTTCCGTGTTTAAGGTGGGAACGAATACTGTTTGGAAATCACCGTATAATGCATCCTTCGAAGGTTCTGCTAAATCAGTGGCTGTAGTTGTACGTGCACTGCATTCGGCCACCACGTACGACTATCGTTTTACAGCGGAATATGTGGATAGCTATCATTATGCAGATCATGATTATTCCTACAATGAAACATTTTTGCAGGTTTCACAGCAGTTTCGAACAAAACGTAACGTTTTCTTACTTAACCCAAGAACAGAAATATTGGGAAAGAAATAGACATAATTAAATGAAAATTTCTTAAGTAAGTTCTTTTTAGCCATGCAAAATTCTTGCTTTTTTAGCTGGAACTCCGTCAGCTCCCGCAAGCATACGTCTTGTTCAGGAACACAATGAATGGGTAGTACGTTGGGACAAGCCATTAAGCGATGGTGGTTCACCAATCACTTCATACGCTCTCGAATTCAGGTTCAAGAAATTCTTACATGCTAATACGGTCAAAATTAGTTTTATTGAAAGAAACCAAATCAAAATCAAACAATTTCTCATCAGTTCTTTAAATGTGTTCATCAGTTTACTTATTTATTTTTCTTTTTTTTTAAAGACCAAATGAAGATGCTGAGTGGGAAATAGCAGAACGAGGATTAGAAGGTGGCTGCTTGTGGTGGAAACCGTTGAGAATAAATTTTCTAGCTGAATGTGCCGAATTTCGAATTCGGGCAGCAAATTCGGAAGGCTTCGGTGCATATGCATATTCAAAGCATCATAGTGGTAGTACTGTTTGGAAATTTATTCACTTTTTTTTTCATGATTTATTAAGAGTATGAAATTTTTTTTACTGATTTTTGCTCTATAGTAAACTTTTCTTATTCTCATAGCTCTCACTATCATCCTCAACTTATTGTTAAAAAATTTCCTGCACTTAACTTTCAGATCATTTAGGAGAATCACACACTCATTCGTTATGGATTATAATTGTCACACTTCTCATCGCTATCCTTTTACTAACCGCTGTCATTGCTGTATTATTTAGTATGTGTTTCCAAAAAAAAATTTCTAAAATGTTATTGTTGTTAATAGCTAGATTTAAGATTAAGTTTCTAAAGTTTCTATTTTTTTCCAATTTTATCTTTTTTTCCCAAATTTTACCGGAAAATGATATATGATCTATTCTTTCTTTTTTAAGTATATTATCAAAGAATTAATGGAAGGCATAATAATATTCGATCGCAAGATATAAGCTTGCACGGTTATACGAATTCAATGAAAAGAAATATTTTTCCTCCACAACTTATTAATGATCTGAAAAGTATGTGATGATTTTAGTGTTGAATGCTAAACCAGTAATATTAGTGATTTTTTAAACGCTTTTAATTAAATAAATTTTTTAGTTATTTCTCGGGTACCGAAAAACAACATCAGTTTATTACGTATAATTGGGAAAGGAGGTTTTGGAGAAGTTTATGAAGGAGTTGCAAATGGATTACCTCAGTCTACAAAAACGATTAGAGTTGCTGTCAAAGTTGGTCTTGAATTTTGAATCATATAATTAACTTCTCAAATGAAAACTCGGGTGATTCCATTTTAGAAAAAAAATAATTAAAAGTTTCAGACTCTAAGAAATGGGTTTTCCGAATCAGATCGGATAAAGTTCCTTCAAGAAGCAGTTTTGATGAAGTAAATTCTGAAGATTTTTGTTTTCTGAAATATAATTAGATAGAATTGCAATTATCATTTTAACATAAATTTTATTATTTTCAAGCAGTTTCGATCATCCCAATATTGTAAAATTATTGGGTGTTTCACTGGAAACAGAGCCATACTTTCTGATTGCTGAACTGATGGAAGGCGGAGACCTTCTTGAATTTCTTCGTTCCAGGTCTTCTCTCAGTCTCTTTACTATCTTTTTAGTCATTTTTGAAGTGAATATTTGAATATCTCACTTTTGCAATATATTTCTCTGTTACTCTTTAATGATTCGTTTAGCCGTCCATCTGACTGTTTCCCGTCACAGCTTTCGTTGTACGAACTAATTGGAATGATGGTTGATGTAGGACGTGGTGCGGCTTATCTAGAAGTTAAGAAGCGCATACATCGCGATTTAGCAGCTAGAAATTGCCTTATTTCTTCGAGGAATTCCAATACACGAATTACAAAAATAGGTAATAATTGACTTCTTACTCTAATATGAAATATTTACTTGAAATTTTTTATATAAAAAAGGTCCTATGTTGGAAAATTTTTTAAAATGCTCTGAAAAATATTAGACTTTATTCTAGGCAAGAGCTAAATAATTTCGATCATCCCAATATTGTAAAATTATTGGGTGTTTCACTGGAAACAGAGCCATACTTTCTGATTGCTGAACTTTAGTTATCAGTTTTCTTCCCAAATGTTAGTTCATGTTGTAGGTGATTTTGGTCATGCTCGAGATATTTATACTAACGATTATTATCGTGTACATGGGGACGATTTCCTTCCATTACGATGGCTTTCACCAGAATCAATTAATGACGGTATTTTCACATCAAAAAGCGATGTATGGTCTTTCGGTATACTACTGTGGGAAATTTTAACTCTTGGTCAGCAGCCTTTTTCAGGCAAAAATAACGTGCAGGCAAGGATTTCTGATGAACTATTTGGTTACAGAAATCCCAGTCAGAAAGGGAAATGGTTCTCTACAAATATTTTTATGAAAGTTTTTTGATTAATCAACTTGTTAAATTAGTGTTTTTTTTTTTTTTTTTTTTTTTTTTGAGTATTCAAAGATTAAAAATTGCTGCTGAGAGAAGAAATTTTGCTCGCTAAAATGACAAAAATTTAAAGCTTTTTTTTCAGCTATTTGGTTACAGAAATCCCGAAAACCAGTGAAATCAGTATGAAAAATCAAAAAAGGAAATGGATTCTTTTTTTTTTTCAGAAGATTATTTTTATCAGATATAATTGTCCATTGCAGGTGATGTCCTTCGTAAAGAACGGTGGTAGGCCAGAGAAGCCGCAGTTCTGTCCAGATGAAATGTGGGCTCATTTTTTAAACTGTTTTATCACGTTTATTTATTGTTCACAAACAATTTCTTGTAGTTTCACTATTGTCGAGCGTGCATGGGTTTACGACCCAGAAGAACGTCCACGATTTGCTGATCTTTTGCCAGAACTCGAGGCTTTGCGTGGTTGTCCATTGTATCAGGTTTTTCAACATTCATGATTTCTCACTTGCCGCTTTATTATAAGGCTTGATAAACTGCTGTGATGAGCCTAAATATATTCCTGTAAAAGTCAATTCTCATTTACATTTGAAATGTAAATAGGCAAAATATTTTAATGTAGGAAGATATTCCATATCCACCGAACTGTTCTTCTCTGAGAACTGATTCAAATTTCGAGTTTTCATTCAATTCTAACATAAGTCGTGGAGAAAGTGGACACAGTGGAAGTATCAGGTTTGATAAAAGCGGTCAGTTTGTAATAATTTGAAACATTAATGAGTATATTGGATGAGCAACTTTTTTCTGCAGAGAATGAAACTTTTTCTCACAAATTAATTTTTTTTTTTTTGTAATTTTTTGTTGCTTTTCAATTCAGTCTTTTACTTTCTATTTTTCCTATAAGCAATTAGTTTTTTTTTTTTTTTAGACAATCCTTCAGCGAAGAAACAAGGCCGTCCATCTATTTTACGTTCGCTTCGTAGAGAACGTTCAAGACCGCTTGTATGCTTCATTCATATTTATAACTTTATACCGATTTCTATAGCAACCAAATTCTCCACTGAAAAATTTGTATTTCTGAGATAGAAATTTTCATCTTTCGAATTTTATTAGCATTTAGTTAGAAGTTCCTCAAAAGTATTAAGACTGATTGGAACTAATTAGCATTAAATGAACCGTTTTATATTACAAGCCTGTCATTCTGCAGTCCAACCTAGCTGACTTGGAAGCTGGTAATCGATCGAGGTCAGTGAATAGTGTTACAAATGATATGAATTCATCTACACGAAGTCAAGTCGTTTTTCACTTTCTTATATTATTACTTATTATTGTTTTTACTGAATGGTTGATTATCGCTTACAGGCTAACTGAAATTTTTTTTAAGATTGCGACGAAGGATATGACAATAGCATTTTCATATCGAATTGCTGTTACGGTGAGTTACTCTCTCGAAATACTTCTTTGATCGGTTACATTTTTGCTCGTAGGGAGATGCCAATAAAACCTGTAAATTTTAGAGGTGCCGAAAAAATCACATTCCAAGAAATCACAGCTAAACCGATCAAAGCAGCGAGCATCTGAACTATCAAACCGTTCTCCTGTATCGTCATCATCAAGTCCTCTCTCCTCTCCGAGGACTCCGTCATCTGGTAACAGTGATATCCCATCAATGTATATTCGTCCAGCACGAGTTAGCCGAGTTTAAAATAAGATTTATCAATTTTGTATTTCGTAGTTCACTATTCATTTCAATTACCCATTCTCTATGATTCCATCATTCGTTTAATTCTAATAGTGCAAGATTGTGGGAATCAATAAGGAACAGTGAAGTAGTTTAGTCTAACACTATAATACATTTTAAAATAATCTTTAAAAAATTCTTTCTTTAAAAATACATTTAAGAAAATCCTTCCTGTTTCTGTTATTGCTTCAGCATGTTTAGCTTTTTTAGGATGTCGTTAAGAGATATTGTTAGTAGTCAGGTATGTATCTAATTTCAGGTGCTCAATCTATATTTTTTCACTTCTATCCTGATATTTTTAAGATTCAAATCGCCTTTGCCGTAAAAATTGTCTTCAAATTTTATTGTTAAAATGGATGAAGTCCTAACCATTTCGAAATGATTGAAAAGAATTGACAAAAAAGGAATTAGAATTAAACTAAAAATTTTAATATTCGACTAGTTACAATCCATCGCAGGCTTTTGACAAGCTTTCTCCTTTTGAAAGTTTTTTTTACGGTGTAAGAAAAAGCGTCATTCTTTATTGAAAAATTCCAGAAAATACGGGAACGCGGGAATAACTATTATTTGCTTTCGTTTTTTTTGGCGAGTGCTATGTAATTCCGTTTTAAAGTGATGTTTATAAAAAATTTGATGAACAAATGAAGAATCATCTGTACACATCGGCCGATCGGGGCAAATGTAGCCAGTCACGGTGGTCCTTAATTATTAACTATCTCTGGCTAATGTATTTCTTATGTCGAAAATTTAGAACAAGAATTTTCTCAATTCAACCCATCCAATCGATCTCTTATAAATTGAAGTATGCAGTGACATTCCAAAAAAGGCTTTCGTAAATAAATGAATTTAGGCAATTCGGCAAGCAATAAAAAAATAAATCTAGCACACATCGGTCGGAAATAAAAACTGCATAACAGAAAGTATCAGGGGCTAAACTACAAAACAAATTTAGCAAACTACAAATTCACTTTGTGCACAAAAAATTGTAAAATTGTTTATCTTAAAGACTGGAACATGAAAATACGAAGGTGAAACAACATCTAGCAAAATAAAGAAGTGCAAAAAGAAAGCTATCATCTCATAAATGATTGAAAAGTTTAATAAAGATGCACCAACGATGGGACTTTGTTTCTTCGATCATTTTTTTTTTTTTTTTCACAAATTCCTTATGTTCATACAATATTTAACCCAGCAGTGAATGCATCAATGGAAGCATAATTCATTAAGAAGCACAATTATCCTTATAAATTTTGTCACTTCCCTTTCTGTGAGAAGGAAAGTGACAGAATTAAAAATTAACAGACATGGGAATTAATAAAAAAATGGGTGGAGAGTGATGTGCATATCTGCGAAAACTGTTAAATCAGAACTGGTTAATTATTTCAGCCAAATCATTTTACTATTCCTGCCAGCAGGTAGTAACTCTAGCAAAAAAAATCTGTAAAATCCCTTCAATTAAACAGTCAATTAAGCAAGAGAAAAACTAATAGTATCTGCAACTTTTCAATTTACTTTAGCACTCGATCATTTGTCTCAGAAGCCTACTTTAGCTTCACAACCGATCGAGCTGATTTAACAAAGTGATACCTCGGTATAATGCCATCCGTCCATGATTCACCAGAACAGTCACTTGTAAAAAATTTAAATGAAGATTCGCAACGTTTTCACACTAATATTTATCTTCCCATCATCCTTAATTTTATATTGCTAGTTACACATCAGTCCTTTGTTCGACAAGTATCTCTCTTGTTTGGATGTCTCATTATCGGTAAACAGTTTATTTCATTAAGTATATTTCTGCTCGTTTCATTCTTTTTTGCAAAACAAACTGTTCTATTTGCCTTCCAATACAAACAATAGTCACTTTCCAAATTCGTAGTACTTTCAGTCCTTAACTGATCGGTGAAGACTTTCGTTGCTGAGAGCTTGCATGGCCTTTGCAGAGCTGCAGCTAATGCTTACGGGAGATAGCTAATGCCCATGGGATGACATGCATTCAATACTGCCTCCGAATCAGACAGGTCTCAACTGACGAATCAGACAAATCCTGCTTATCGGATTAAAATTCTGGGCTCATTAGTTTTCGGATTAAAATTCTGACTTCAAAGCCGGGCAAATCAAGGAAAGGTACTTGTCGGAAAATCGGAGCGATTTCATAGTATGTGGAAACCATCTATGTAAACCTATAAGATCTATCTACAATCTATCTACAGGCCAAAGATTCTCTTATTTAAATGTTCCTAAAATCGATGCTTGTTTCATTTAAACTTTAATTAGAAAGGTAATTAAAGAACTATATAGGAGTGGGTGTAAAGACATTCAGCATACTTCGTGCTGGGTGAAAATAGCTTTTGTGAAATGTTTTGCTTTTTGCCTTAGACGAACGATTATTTCTTGTTTCTACTATTGTAGCTATGATATATCAGTTTCATGGTTCAATCGATATACACCGGTATCAGAAGCTAGTGCAACACAAATGCTTCGTACCGGTTACGGTTTCCCTTCATCACCTCTGGATCCATTAGCTTTTGCTCTGACTCCAGATATTGTACTACTTTACTGGAAATTACCTGCTAGACCGAATGCACCAATTCTTGAAATTAAATATATGGTTTGCTTCTGTTTTTTTCTCCTTTAAGAAACTTGGATGATAGCGATGATTGTGCTGCCATTTATCACTTACTAATATTTGCATTGTGTCTTTAGAAATGTTTTCTTGACATTTCTGATCTATCTCTTTTCCTGACATTTTTGAAGGCTAAATATAAGTTTATTATTAGTAGTAGTAGATTCCTAGGGATCATTAATTAAATGGACAGTCTTGAGATGGATTTGTCAAATATGTTCCAGATAAGTCAGCTTAGTGCGACACAGATTTCTCCCTCAGCAATCGGTGCGCAGCAGTTTGAAGGAGCAAATTACGCTATTATGCCAACTGATGTCGTTTCCTGTCTGAGTAATCCTTGTTCTGCAAAAATTTCCAATCTGCGCCCTTCTACCGAATATAAATTTTGGGTAATTTTGATTGAAGAAAAATGCTGGTATAAAGTAACATTTAAATATATATGATTGTTTTCCGCTTTTCCAAAATGCTATTCATGTTTATCCGCAGTGGAATAATTGAATAACGGAATAAACTCTTTAGTTTTCAATTATTTGATTTCATTGCTTGCGGCTTCACTGATGTTTTCTGTTTATCAATAAAAAAAAAAAACAATGTTAATTTTTGTTGAATTAAACCCTGCAAAATTGGAAAAGAAGACCAAAACTTTAAATTCAGGTGCGTGCAATCCATGAAAGTCATCTAAATATGCAATTTGTGGATGATGCAGAAGGAAGTTCCGTAGAAGCATCAGTTCGTACGAAAGATATAGCTGGAACATTGCATCTTGACAATATTATTGGAACTGCTGTTGTACTTCGGTGGAGTTCTGTTAAATTTGTTTATAGTTCTGTTAAATTTGTAAAACATCTGGGCTTTTGATAAAAAATCATTGTTCAGGGAGGAACTTTAAAATAACCTTTCTAAATGCTATAGTGATACGTTGATTTTCAATATCAATTTATATTCTTTATTTTTTTCAAATTTTTCAGAAACAAAAAAAAGATTTTGGAGCTCTAATATTTTTCACAGCACTGATTTGCAAATTCCATAGTTACTATTTGATTTTTTCAAAACTTTTATAGGTATATCGAAAATGTGTTAATGGTATTACAAGTAAGGGATCCTACCATTGCTGGTAGCTACCGCCATGTTTTAAATCGATTACAAACATCTTTAACAGGTAAAGCAGGCGAATAATGCGTTGGTATTATTTGCTAAATATAAAAAGTTAGCAAGTGTGCGTGGTGAACTAAAATAAATTTTGTATAAATGTTGTCAGGTTTTATAATTTCTATGTCATATTTTATTTTGTTCTAAAAACAATAATGATATGTTAAAGATATCACTGTAACAAAGCAGTCCTGATCTATTGCTTTCATTCTGGCTTTCCAAGTTAAGCGTTGTATTTCCGTAAATAGGATTCTCTCATTCTCCTACATAAAGTTTATATATTTTTTGGGATAGTATGCGGGTTGAGATCCAGTCGGCCAAAAAATGTTAACAATATGCTTGCCGTTTAAGTTTGAAACAATTTTCGTTATCATCGAAAGAATATTTTGAAAGACATTTTTTAATCGAATATCTCAAAAAATATATTTTATGTATGATGTTTTTACAGTCTGTATAAAAGGTAGGCAAAAATTTATATGTGATTTCACTTTATTATATACTGAGGAAGTTTGGTGCAGCAGAGAAACCAAATATAAAAGTCAAGAAAGCATCAAATAGAGAATACCCTTTCTAAATTATGATCCCATTTCAGTCTTTGTGATTTGTACAAACAAAGTTTGGTAACCTAACTCTCAGACTCCATGAGAAGTGTGCTATGGAAGTTATGGCAAGCATATATATAATACATGTGTAAACCGACATACTGAAATACTCTGCTGGAGAGATGCGACCAAATGTCTACCTGACATTTGCTGATCTCATTTGACACCGTGAGCAGAAAAAAATTATGGCAACCCCAATCATTCTGTCGCACGAAGAACAGAGCAGACCAGTCAAATATGGCAATTCACTCTGTGAGTCTTTCTTGATAATAAAAGGAGTGAAACAAGGTTGCTCTCTAGCATCGAGATGTTGAAAGTCTAAACCAAACTCTCGTCTTGCTTTTTGCGAATGATTTGTTTTCGTTAAGCATCCTTTCATGTAGAGCATATCTTCCTAACTTTGCAGAAGCTGTTGGGCTTTTGAGACTCAACATTAGTTCGATGAAAAAAAATCTGTACAGCTCCCACCAGATAGATTAGCACTTCCTAATATTACCACAAGTTCATCTTACATCAGCCTAGTAGTTTACCTATTTAGGAAGTATCATTTCCTCGAGTGCCAAGGTTGATAAAGTGATTAATATAAC